ATAATGTAGCAGTGGCGGATCCAGGGGGGGGCCGAAACGGCCGCGGCCCCCCCTATTGGCGGCGCAAAAAAAAAGAGGAAAAAAAAGAAAGGAGAAGAGAAGAAAAAAAGGAGAAGAGAAAAGAAGGAGAAGAGAAAAGAAAAGAGAAGAGAAAAGTAAGAAGAGAGAGAGAGAGAGAGAAAGAAAAAAAGCAGAAGATTACCAGCGCTAAGTGACAGTAATGACAAATAAGTAAGAAACTGTAATCGGGAGATTTGGGGTCATTCCAGAAGGCTTGGGAAACGTTATTGAATAGAGGGGGCCGGGCCGGCCGCATAAAATCTTGAGCCACGGATTCAAAGTTAAACGTTACAAACAGCCCCTGCTTTTTGAAAAAATTGAAAAGGGCACAATATTTTGGATGTCTTTCAAATAGAAGCTATATACTAAACAGTCAAATTTTAAATTAACGGTAGGGCCGCTTCACAACTCTTATTTTGCCCTTCATTTGAATTCAGCTCATACCAAGTCGCTTGTGCTTATATTTGAACTCATGTTGGTAGTGATAATGGACAGCGGCGGCGATCCTGGGCCCGATAGAGGGACACGTCCCCCCGGAAATTTAGATATATAGCTAGAAAGAAATATACATGTAGCGGAAAGAACGTAAATATTGGCCTAAAGGATTTTCTAGAATGCATAATTTCAGCATTCTACATTGCAAAATCTCGCTTGGTCGCTACGCCCCGGCCCTCGCCCGATAACACAAAACTAAGATACGACGCTCCCGGTCGCGATTATTTCATGGTTGGTGTATAAATAGATCTTTTTCTCCCCTTTCATTTCTACTGACCTAAGTGTATGCTATCACAATCATGATTATTACATTTTACCTTTAAAGCATGCGTAGCTAGGGGCGGTAGGGGCAGTAAGAGGACATAGGACGAAAAAAGGAGCAGACAAAGAAACATTTTTGACAAGTCTAAAACGGTACAACAAATCATCTTCTTTCTCTAATAATTTAATGAAACGTTAAGCTTCTGCGCTTTGCGCTGGAGGGGGAAACTGAATTCAGAGAAGGATTAACCCTAATAGGGCCGGGCTATTTGAAGTCTTAGTAGGGCCGGGGGGGCATTATGGCCCCCCCCCCTTAAGATCTCGGCCGCGAAGCGGCCGATCGCCGCGAAAATTTGCACGCATGTCAAGTGAAGTGTAAAGAATAATATGATAATTTCAATTTTTTGAAAAATTCACTCATTTGCATATTTATGGTAATTTATTCAAATAAAGTCATAAAAATCACATTTTTACCCATGAATCATATATTATTCATATTTAAGCATTCTTTTTCACTAGATATATTCATTAGACCATTCTGAATAATAATACGACAAAAAATTTGGAAGAGCCAGCTTATTTCTTATGTTATCCCTTGTTATGTTAATTTCTTATGTATTTCATTGTTTTTTTAGCTTATGTATTTCATTGTTTTTGTTGTTTTATTTCATCTTTTACTACAATTCAACTATTTTGACTCCCAAAACAACCACCTAAACTTTAATCAAGACCCAATAACCCATGTTTGATCTGTTTTTAGGAAAAATGACTTTGCCATACGTTTTGTACACAAATCACGAAAATGAGCGATTTTGAGGCTGACATGCAAGGACAAAATGTCACGTGACCTTGTAACCCTAGGTCCGATTTTCATAAAAAATATTTTAAAAGTTGCGCAAGACTCGAAAGAAAAAAGTCAGCGAGCGGCGGGGCGCCATCCATATGCGTTCCCGAGCAATCAGAAAAATTGTGGAGGGGGGGGGGCCATAATGGCCCCCCCCCGGCCTTATTAGGGTTAAGAGTCGGGAATGGAACAACGAATTATCTTCTTTCTCTAATAATTGCATTAAACTATGAAAGGTCAAAGCTTCCTCGCTTCGCGCGGGAGGGGAAAACTGAATTCAGACAAGGAATAAGAGTCGAGAATGGTAACACAAATCATCTTCTTTCTCTAATAATTCAATGAAACGTCAAAGCTTCCGCGCTTTGCGCGGAGGGGGAAAACTGAATTCAGACAAGGAATAAGAGTCGAGAATGGTACAACAAATCATCTTCTTTCTCTAATAATTCAATGAATCGTCAAAGCTTCCGTGTTTTGCGCGGAGGGGGAAAACTAAATTCAGACAATGATTAAGAACCGAGAACGGAACAACGTATCGTCTTCTTTCTCTAATAATTTAATGAAACGTCAAAGCTTCTGCGCTTCGCGCGAGAGAGGGGGGGGGGAAACTCAATTCAGACAAGGACTAAGAGTCGAGAACGGTACTCTTTCTCTATTGATTGAATGAAACGTCAAAGCTTCCGCGCTTAGCACGGGAGGGGGTATGGAAACTGAATTCAGACAATGATTAACCGAGAACGGTACAACGAATCGTCTTCTTTCTCTAATAATTTAATGAAACGTCAAAGCTTCCGCGCTTCGCGCGGAGAGGGGGGGGGGGGGGAACTCAATTCAGACAAGGATTAAGAGTCGAGAACGGTACTCTTTCTCTAATGATTTAATGAAACGTCAAAGCTTCTGCGCTTCGCGCGGGAGGGGGTATGGAAACTGAATTCAGACAATGATTAAGAATCGAGAACGGTACAACGAATCGTCTTCTTTCTCTAATAATTTAATGAAACGTTAAGCTTCTGCGCTTTGCGCTGGAGGGGGGGGGGGATATGAATTCAGAGAAGGATTGAGGGTCGAGAATGGAACAACGAATTATCTTCTTTCTCTAATAATTTCATTAAACTATGAAAGGTCAATGCTTCAGCGCTTCGCGCGGAGGGGAAGACTGAATTAAGACAAGGAATAAGAGTCGAGAATGGTACAACAACTCGTCTTCTTTCTCTAATATCAATTAATGAAAGGTCAAAGCTTCCGCGCTTCGCGCGGGAGGGGAGGGGGAGAGCAGGGGGGGGGGGGAAAACTAAATTCAGACAAGGATTAGGACTCGAGAATGGTACAACGAATCCTCTTATTTCTCTAATAATTTCATGAAACATTAAAGCTTCTACGCTTCGCGCGTAATGGGGCGGGGGGGGGGGGGGAGGGAGGGGAACAGCGAGCTGCCCGAATATGAATTTGTTATATCTTTTCTCGTATATTTTGGTGATAAATAACACTTTCACAAAATACATATTATCCTCAAATTTTTGCTCGCTCGCTTCGCTCACTAGCCGAATTGTGAAACCAGAAAATAACTTTTTCGGGCAAGAGGCTTCAGCCCCCCCCCCCCCGATGAAAATGTCAAAAAAAATTACCGGTATGGTGCTTCTAATATGACCTTGTCAGTATTGGTATATTGAGTTGAAAAACGGTCTGCGCAATTTTCAAATTTCCGGCCCCCCCCTATCGGAAAATCCTGGATCCGCGCCTGATGTAGGCCTATAATTATAGGTCAACAAGAGTCTAGCATCTGCACTCTTTTTTAAGGCAAACGTCTTGCTTGTGAACATTAAATGTTGGGATTTGTAGTAGGCCCCTATAAATTCTCTCACTTTTGCCCATTATGACTCAACTTTTCTAGGTATCCCCCAAAAGTCCCTTTTTTTTTGTTTACATAGGACAAGTGGCCACTTTCTTTTCTAATAACTGTCCATTTAATGTCTTTTCATCTCTGGTGAGGACGTCTTTTCAGGTGCGGGAACTTCCCCTTTTCACCCCTGATATGTTTGCCCTCTTTAACTTTGACTCATGCCCCTTTTCCTTTTTTTAATAAGCTTACTTTTTCCTTCGTAATAAGTACCCCCCCTCCTTCCCTTTCTCTTGGCGCTTTTTCCCCTGGCGCTCAAGGGGGGGGGGGTGCAAATTTTTAAATTTTCAAAGGCCAAAAAAAAAAATGTGCTCACTACCCCCCCCCCCCCCCCCCCCCCCCCCCCCCCCCCCCCGCTTATTCAGCGGCTGGCTGAGTCGTTGCAATTTTTTGGGGGAGCAAATTTTCGGGAGCAAACCCTAAATGTTGCTTAATTAAGCAGTACCTTATATCACGTTAAGAAAGAAACAATATTGATGTAATCCCTGGTAGTGTAATCATAATCATGACGATGTAGGGGTATATTATATACCAATGTCTAAAAATGGTGTATGTTTTTTGAATGTTTTCCTTTGTAGGTGCCCCATTTTAATTGGTGCCCCCCCCCCCTTTTTTTGGAAGACGCTCCGCCGCCCCTGCATTATGCTACTTGGTGGAGATGCGGATTTTGTTCTGACCCCAAAAGTTTTTGCTCATTACGCCACTGGATGTAGACAAAATATGCTCATGTACCCTTTAAAGCTCATTTTATGTATTTTAATTACCAAAGGAAAACAAAGTCAGTCAGTCACTCAATAATGTCTGACAGTTAAGTCTAGAAAGTAAAACGGGTTTCCTTGCAAAATTTGAATTGTTTAAATTTCACAGATAGGACATACGTGACATAATTATTCGTAATTCCTGCAAAGTTCTACAGAATTTGATGTCATTGTTAGCTGCAAAAGGGATACACGACCTTTAAAGAAATGCACATTATTTCCATTTTTGGTGGCAAAGTAAAAGAAAGTGTCCCTACCAATAGTGTGTTCTCTCTCTCTCTCTCTCTCTCTCTCTCTCTCTCTCTCTCTCTCTCCCTCTCTCTCTTTTCCTCGATGACGATACGGCTATACGCTATAAAAAATAAAGTGTTTAATCAATGTGAGGAAGGGCCAAGGAAGAATTTCTCACCGATCATATTTTCACTTTTTTTCAGAAATGGACCACTGGAATCTCAGATTTTTATTTTTTACTCTTTTATTTTTAGCTTCTTATCGCGTCATGAATCTTTACACGCAGAGCGCAGATAGTCAAAAACGTGGTATTACCATAATTCATGCCGGTGAAAGTAACTCTTTGTACAGATCGGGTTGTGTGAAGACGCCCTAGTCCTGTCCCTTTGTTATTCAGATTGATTCTACCAAATACTGTTTATTGATGACAGGAGTGCTTATTGTGTACGTAAAAGCCCCGGTAAAAGCATTCATCTTAGAATCTTGTGTACATCTAGAAGAATTTCTCTATACCGGTACGCTACATGTTGGACAGCAACTAACAGGCCGTTTCTGGGCCTAATCATACTCAATCAACATCACGTAAGTACACTTTTGAGATCGTAATTATCCTGATTATTGTAATTTGATTATTATTTGTATTTAAGGTGACAAGTTTTACTTCTACTATTACAGTGTACTTGTATACTCGAGATATATACCCGGGGTTATATACACGTAGAATATAGGTGATGTGGCAAAAATGTACGCCATGGAATAGGTCGATATATAGGTTCAGTAAAGTCATGAGCAAAAAGGAGAGAAAATTGAGAACGACCTCATTTGAGTTTAACCATGTTTTTTTTTTACATAGGTTTTTATTCTCTTCTCTCATAAAGAAAATTGTACATAATTTATAACATTCTATAAAAATTACAAATAATCTTCACTTAGGCCCTAGGCTTAAATAAATTTGCAAGCGAACTTTAACATTCCGTACAAGGTTACAAATCATCTTCACATAGGCCTAAATAAATTTGCAAGTGAACTTTAACATTTCCATACAAGGTTACAAACAAATTTTTATATAGAATATAATTGCAAATGAAGAAACACATTTACAGAAGAAATATATTCACATAAACAAAATTATAGTTTCACATTTTAAACAAATCAAAAATAAAGTTTTTACAACTTCCTCAAACCAGCAGTCCATGTAAATTCCCAATTATTTATTTTCTTTTCCACAATAATTTTCCAAATTTCCTTCAGAGAGAAGAAAGGGTTATGATAAAAGAAAGAAGAAGATATATGATAAAAGAAAAAAAAAAGAGAAAGAGAACATCTACTACCCCCGCACTACCAACAGTTGCTCATCTGACCGTAATTAGTATACCTCACAGATAGGCCTACAATTAATTTTCTTATAAAACTCCTGTTTTAAATCAGTATACCACCAATTAATGTGCAATTCATTATCTGTACGAGACAAGTAGGGCGATAACAATGCTGAATAAACACGACTGCGTAGAGATAATGACAATGCACCTCTTTTAGTTTTTAATTAAAATGCTTAAAAGTTGAATTTGGAATTTGGAAGTTCCACTTGACCCGTGACACAGGTTTAGAAATACAATTGAAGAGTTTGCTTTTCAAGCGATAGCAGCTATCTAAGCAGTTTTAGAGTGCCCATGCAGTCAAAACGATTGCGATTTTGTTTGCGTGACGCAAAGCAAGACGCAGAGCAAGACGCAGAGCAACAGCTCAAGAAAAATCAAGGTTCTGTACAAGAAACAAAGACAATCTGTGAATAAATTACCATTTTGGCAAACAACGATAACCTAAGAAGCCGCAGTGATGAACGCATGGTACGTAACTATAGAAAGAATGATAATGTATGCCTTCCACTAATAATGGTTATGAGTATACTGCAAGTCTGACAATGATCTGTTAACGTGTCCTGGTGTTGCATTATAGTACATGTATCTCGTGTAACAATACAATACCATCTATTTTGGTGGTGGATTCGACTAAGGAAATTAATTTTGCGATTATCGTTTTGGTGTTTGAAGTACAGATGTTTAGTAATAGTGTTGTTATTGTTACCTCTTGTTCGTCTACAGACCAGTATGACACTTGTTATACCAAGACTGGATTTATACGACTGAATATGAGGAGCTTCTTCATTGGAAAGATTTCTTACTGATGTAGCATGCAGGCAGAGTAGATCTCACATGCATCCATTTCAAGACAATATCGAAGGTAAGCATTCTGTTCATTTAAGATCCGATTTTAATTGAATTTTGGGTGTGCTATAAGTATTGAATTTTGGGTTGTGCTAATTTATTTTATTCGGAATATACTTAGTTTATAAACATCCATTATTGAGTATACAATGTTATACATGTATTGTTTATTTCATAGTTATAGCAGTACTCTAGTTCAGATTTTGTTCAAAGTTCTGTCTGATCAAATTTATTTAGTGGACCTCAAAAGAAAACACTTAAAATTCAGTTATCTTGCATTATGTAAGAAAGTATGTGCATTAAATATAGACTATAAAGATAAAGCGTAATTTGTTGATATTCATAAATTACTTTTAGAACTGGTATTCTAAATCAATGGACATTTTTCGTATTCTTTATTTTTTTACGAGATTCACCTTTTAAATGCTGCTTTTTTTCTTCTTCCTATCAGGATTGTATAAAAGGGGCAACGATTTCCTCACGATGCCAACTTTTTATGCCACGCAGCTGATGATAAACAGGAGGTGACCAAGACACAATGGGGGATGGACTCATCAGAAACATACTGGCGGCATGTTGCCTTGTCTCTTGTTTCCGAATCCTCCTCGTCCTGGTGTACTTAGCCCCTGACAGCAACCCACCGGATCACCACCCACTGGGTTATACCATCATCAGGAAGGAGTACTCAGTAGCTCCTGCGCGTGTTGACACGGGAAATGTCAGTTTTGAAGGTTTCCATGACGACAGTGATGATGCGCGCCGGAAGATGGTGGAGGAAGGACAAGAAATTGCACGCCAAAGACGGGCTGATTACGACGATGGGTTGGTAGTTGACGTCGAGGGGGTACCGGTGGCCGAAGTATCGCAGAACTTTGATCTGATGCCGGCGGGAGGATGTCCAGACAACGGCAGAGGAATCTTCCTTCTAACCCTTGTCCACTCGTTACCGCCACACTTTGAGCAGAGGCAGGCGATACGGGAGACGTGGGCGAGGAATGCATCAAACGGCGCTGGTGCGCGCGTGGCTGTCCTGTTCATTGCACCTGGCATCAGTCCTAGGCCAGATGTAATGACTGGTTTACAGAAAGAAGCAGCCAGGTATGATGACGTCATCCATAGTGTTGCCGGAGATTCTTTGAGTACGTTTCGACCATCATCCAAAGTCCTTCTCTCAATGATGGGGTGGACACTCAACTACTGCATCAATGCTAAATTTGTGCTATTTGCCCATGAAGAGCTGTTTGTTAACTTTCATCATGTGGTATCACGTCTCAAGCTTGTAACTCCTAAACCATTCAGATCGTTCTCCATTGGTAGGGTCAAGAAACTCGCCAAAGTGGAGCGAGATGCCGTTAAGTGGGATTATGTATCAGAGTCCGTGTACCCTAAAGAAACATACCCACACTATTGTGTAGGAGGAGCGGGCTTTGTGATGTCCATACCTTTTATTCGACAGGTACATCCTAGAGCTGTGCAATTCAACAGAGAGGTAAACGTGTTCCCGGCTAGTGATGTTATGTTAGGGATCATAACAAGTCAACTCAAGGCAGAGCCGCGGTACCACGAAGAGTTCCACAAGTCTGGTGGAGAAGCGAACTACTGTGACCTTCAAGATACCCTTACGCTTGGTGACTTTAACACACCAAAACTGATGCGAGGCGCTTGGAGGAACCACACAGACAAGATGGACTACTGTCCTAGTCCAGTACCAAATGCCACCGAAATCACCTGGTGGACTAAAGATGTTGATTATCACCAATATTTTAACAACATATTCCAGTTCATTCATAAACCAAAATTGTTTTGCGAAATTAAAAATATTACATTGCTGGCGTTAGTGAGCACCCACCCTCATAATGCAAACCTTAGGAATGCCATACGAGTTACCTGGGGTCATCCAGAGTATACTGCTGCAATGAAAGTAAAAGTTCTATTTGTTCTCGGTAGAGCAGCAGTCGAGACACCAGAAACCATCGACCTCATTCAGAAGGAATCGGACAAATTTGGGGATATCATCCAGGCAAATTTTGTAGAATCCTTCCATAATCTAACGTTGAAGGTCATCCTTGGACTGCGCTGGGTGTCCACTGAATGTTCATCTGCCAAGTTCATCTACAAAGGAGACGACGACATGTTGGTCAACTTTGAGCATATGACCGGGTATCTGGACCAGCTTCCGGTATTCCAAACGCAGAATCTTTTCATGGGGAACCTCATGACAATGAGCCCCGCCCTTAGAATGCCCTCCAAGTACCAAGTCCACAGGGAAGTCTATCCATTCAAGTATTTCCTGCCGTACTTCTCAGGAGGTGGCTACATCATGTCTGGTTCCACGGTGCAGAAGATGTCCCGCATGGCAGAGACCACAAAGTTGATCCCTATAGACGATGCCTACGCGGGAATACTGGCCTACCGCTCGGGTGTCTCTCTGATGCACGCTGGTGGGTTTATCGTTGGAGGGAGTAAGCGTGATGCTTGTCGGCTGCGGAAAGCTTTCAACATGCACGGGTTCAAACGGCCTACAATTTTCATAGGAACATGGAAGACGTTCCGTGATCCTAAAACCAAATGCCAAGAGGACAACCAGAAGAAAAATTGGGCTCATATAGCTTGATGATGTCATGTGATGTGCAATTTAGGATCCAAATGAAGTACTTGAAATTATGATATGCAAACAGAGTATGCTGTTTATGTTATGTATTTAAATCACGTGCTTTCCAAACAAAGATGCCCACGACAACTTCAAAAAATGTCAGAAGTTTGTCAGAATCATTGTCTGCATCCTGCTTTTTTTTTTTTTTACTTCTGAAACAAAAACGGATGACTGCAACAGTTCAGCAAGAGGCAGTTTCGGGAAGAGGCGTTCCTTAATATTATTATTTTCGTTAATAGCCTTGATTGTGTTCCTTAAATCATTAGTACAAATGGGCTGATAAAGATTTGAGTTCAGCTGTTTTGTGACATTTTAGAAGAAATTTTAAAATACATTTTTATGTTCGCCGCATGTAACCCTAATGCTGACAAAATAATATAGTTTCATTCCAGTATATAATCATGATTTCCAACAAATGGAATCCGTATAGGTAGAACCATGATTAGGTAGAACCAAACATTTCAAAATGCCTCGAGAGTCGAGGCTTTGCTCTTTTTAATTTTTTTTAAATTCTTGAACAACCACCTTCTGGATTGCCACCCCAGACAACTAACCCCAGACAACTACCCCCGGACAGCTAACCCCGGACAATTACCCCAGACAGTTACCCATGAGGTAAATTACCACAGAGGAAAACTCCCCGCCATAGGGCAATAAACCCTGGATTATTCCCCAGTATGTTATTATTTGACAAGCAGGTTATCATTTAGGGGTAGTTGTCTGGGAATAAAATGTCCTAGGAGTTGGGGATCAGTTGTTCCAAGGGAAGTCGTCTGGGGAAAGTACTGTTGTCCAGAGATAGCTGTACGGGAAGTTGTAGTTCGCGGGATACTGGCTTGTCCGGCTCTTTTTTATAAGCACTCGATCTCTCTTTTTAACTTGGCCTCTATAGACGATTCGTTTTTCATTTATTGGTCTGCCGAAGGTTATCTGGTCCAAGTTTTAAACTGTTTCTCGTTTATTTTTTAACAAGGGAGCATTTCAAGAGCAATTCTTGTAAAGTTAAATCGCTGTATACTTTGTGCAAATGCAAAAGAAGATATTGCTCACGAATATCGATCGTACCTTTGCCAGTACGTAGAACGTCTTATAACATTGTTAACCCTTAGGACATCATTATGAATCATAATTCATATGCATGATTAAATTTTGTATTTATGTTATGTAAGTAAAAGAACAGAACTGTCAACTGGAAAATAATAAGAGATTAAAATGTTACATTAATCCGACTTTGATTCTCTCTCTATCTCTCCTTTAAAAAATAGTTTTACTGTATTATTCTTATTATAGACATTTTTTTTATGAGTTATCTGCTTGAACAAAAATAGAGATCAGTATAGATCTTTCATGAAGTAGCTGCATTCAACTCGAGATCCTCATGCAAAACCACAAACGCTTTGGTAATGTTTTTAAAGATATAACAATTAATTATAATTTGGCTCAAAATGCAACCTGATTTATTTCAATCAAGCACAAACGTCGTACTCGTTTCACAAGATGTTTGTTATTGAGAGAGAGAAAGAGAGAGAGAGAGAGAGAGAGAGAGAGAGAGAGAATGCGGTGGAAGGGGAAAGAGCGAACGAAGGGAATAAAAAAAAAAGGGAAATGAATGGTGAAAGAGAGGAAGAAAAGAACGGAGAAGGGGGCTAATAGAAAGAAGGGGGTGAAAAAAGGTGAAAGGGACAGATTTGGAGCGAAGGCACTAATCGACCAAAAAAAATGTGAGGCGGCATTTGCGAAATGTATGACGAGTTTGTTGCAGGTCCTCTTCCCCTTTCTTTAAAGGTACTATATCCCATTTGCAGGCCAAAAAGTGAATTTGAAAGATAATACTACTTTAGAACTTTCCTCAAAACGAAAGGGCTTGAAAAAAAAAAGTTGGAAGATAACGACCGTTAGTTGTCGAATCGACTTTAGTTTGCAATCCTTTTAGTGAATAGTCTGATTTTCAGACCCTTGTACCGAATGGTATACGTTTGTGCTGCGCAATGATTCAATCAGTTTAATTTTGGCAATTACAAGAAATAGGTTATTGACGTAGACAAATGCAAAGCTCTACATAATTTGATGTCGGCTGCATATGGGACATAATTATACCTTTAAATAGAAAATTGGAATAGGGTCATGATAAAAATTTAAACTTAAGAAGCTTTACTACCCGTGTTTTACATCAACGGTATATACGGAGGAGGTGGTATAAGTGAAGATCAAAGGTTCTTAAATTTTGCAATGAATTTTCTTTAAGAACGAGAGAGATAAGGGGGAGACAGTTGTAAGTAGAGAGTGAATGAATCATACTGCAAACAAAATTATACACCATTCGAATTCAATTCATTGGTATTTTTTTTCTTAACTAGATTGCTAGATTGCTAGATTTAGAACTTGAATTTCGGAAGAAAGAAGTTGCGTCATATTCGTTTAACCGTTTTGTACATGTATATATAAATTACGATCGGTTAAAACGAGGTATACACACATTTTAAATACATCTTGAATAAACGAGATAATTATACACACATTTTGAATACATCTAAAATACTGCATCTTGATATAGCAAGATCGTGTAATTTCCATTAACCTTTTGGACAAACCAAATTACGTTGACACATTTCACACACATCATATGACCTTTTAAGGTAAATTTAACGCCCTTCCCAACATCCCTCTACCAGTAATTTGGGGGAGAACACGGAAATAAATGACGTTATCCTTAAATCTGATGGCGACACAAGAGTATGGTTACGTAATATGTCACCTTTGAAAGGTTCAACACAATACTGACCCATACGAAGGTGCTGTTTGACCTCTAACGTCATCAGGTGCACTGGGAAGAACTTTTAACTGAATCAGAAGGAAAAAGGGTGAGCACAGATTCTTTAAAAATCGAGAGGAAGAAGCAGGCGCATCAGACTTATCAACGAGATTTGAGGAGTGAAGTTGATTTTTTTAGTGGAGCTAAATAGCGTTAAAGAAAGCCGTCAAAATGCATATCACAGCGTTATCCTGCCTACATCTTGCAGTGACTGTTTCACTTATACTATTTTGTGCAATTGGTGAGTAGATTATCCGTCTCTTTTCTGCATAACATCCACTTAATTAAGACCTTACAAACTAAATTGTTAATTAAAAAACTTAGAAATGAATGTTTAGTTTTTGTTTACCGTAGTTTGTCTTATAAGGTGTGGTTTTATTTTGTTTAGTATTTGCTATTCAAATTTATTTTCTAACTTTTTTTAATTACTTTTACCCTATTTGCCACAAATCATTTATTTGCTTACTCCGGCCTCTCAAATTATACAAATTCATGTATTGTTTTTGTCACCGAATTCAAATTGTACACTTAAATTAATATGTGATATATATATATTGAGAAATTTAGTTGATCGACTTTCGAAACTTAATTTAAAGAGATGTAAACCAATTACAAGATAATTGTTTGATATGTAAGTATCATAATTATCATCGCTTGAAATTGGTGTTTGATATTGAATGATATCTATATGTGTATATATTTTAAGAAGGGGAGAAATTGGGCATAAAATAGTCGCTTTGACAATACTATCTTCTGAAAGAAAGTAGATGCACTTGGATCCGTTTGATCCGTTTAATGTTTAAATGGCATTAAAATGTCTGACCGAATAAACATTTGAAAAAGAGTTTATAATGCATATATCATTTTCAAGGTATACAGTTATAACGAACGCGGATATTCGCTTTCCTTATAAACTAATCTTTAACGGGATTGAAGATTTTTGACATAATGAGTGAGTTTATTTCTTTCCGGTTTTCCATTAAATGAACCAGAGAGTTCGAATAATAGATTTATTCAAAGGAATTATGGACTTACAAAGTAAACTGTTGTGTATATCACTAATAATGGTGTGGAAATATAGCAATGTTGGAATATGTGTTCAAATGATACAAATTCATATCTGTTTCACCTTTGGAATGAAATATTAAGGACTCGTGAACATTTTTTGGTGGGTAATTTTGGTCTCAATGAACTACAAAGAGCATTTTGTTTATTCACATTAGGCATTGCCCGTTCAAAAAAGAGGTATACTACTCAGAATTCTAACATGATGTCAGTCAAGAGTTTTGAAGAAAAAAATTCAATGTGAAGATTAAGCTAATCCTAATCCGTACGAATGTCGTCATCATCGTAATGAATGCACTAATTTTCGGCGTTTTTCAACCACTTCGACATACATGAGCGGCTTTGTTAAAAGATAACAAGACTACCCCACATACGCCTCGCGGAAGAAGGTCTTTTTCAATTCAACTCGAGGCGATGTTACTTCCTTGTAGCATTCCAGAAGTATTACACTCGTTTCATCAAGAGATTTTAAGAAGAAAAGACACCATGCATGCATGATTAAACAAAGGGCAAACGAAGAGACAATAAGAGCGTCGGTGACCTCCCCCCCCCCCCCCCCCCCTTTCCCTCTTCCATCTCATCTTAATTTGTAGAATAAAAGCAGACTTTGTTTTTCAGGGGGGACAAACAAATCGATTAGCTATAGTTATGTTGGTTTGTTATTTTATTTGCTAGTGTAGAAAGGCATTATAACTGTTGTCATATCCTGCGTTTCCTGTTACGATCTCATTCCCTTTCCATTTTCATTACTTTGTTGTTATCGTGGTGACATTTCCCTTTCTCTTTTATTCCTCTTAATCCTTGTATACCTCTATATTTCACTATTTAATATCTGTAGAACGAAGTGCTATTTATAAGGACCGCTATTTACAAAAGACCGCTATTCATTTTAGTCACGCGTTATGGGCAGCGGTCCTTATGGATAGCGAGCTTGACCCCCTTTATTGACAGTGGTATGAAATACAAGTTATGTACCTCCAAAGTGGAAGTGGTACATGATTGTCCTGTCAATATGATTAAAGAGTCTAAATTCAGTCCTTTCTTTAAACTTGTGAAAATCTGAAACTTTGAACAACATAACTAGTTTTGGTCGCATTTAGATGGGGAGAGATTCAGTATAGGACTGGTTTTCAACTTAGATTTGAGAAAGTGTAATTACACTGATATCATCCAAAAAGTCCACTAAACCAACGTTTTTCAACCGGGTTGTCGCGGCATATTATGGTGTCGCGGCAAACCAATTAGGGTGCCGCAGGACATCTATATGTTACTTTATTCCTCGCCCGCTTCGCTCGCTCGCAAACTTTAGAAACATTATGATTAATGACAGTGAAGTGCCTGAATACCTCCATATCTGAGCAACGAGGTGCCTGAATAGCCTTCGTTTTGACAGCGAGGTGCCCGAATATATAGTATGATCTTTTATGTCGAAAATACATCTTTACCGTGCTCGTTCGCTTCACTCGCTCGCAACATTTAGAAACAGGATAATTCTGGGCAATGAGATGCCCGAATCTCCTCATATTCTTGCACTGTTGCCCTCACATAATGATCTTGACATTCATGTATATTCGGCAGCGAGGTGACCGCGCCCTTAATTCTACCATGCTCCCCCTACCCTGATGCTTGTATAGTGTGTTGATTCTAAACTAAAGCTGCAATAAAAAAAATATTAAAAGTGTCAATAATCTTTTGGTCACCCCTAAATGTGCCCATGACACTTGAAAAGTGTCAGAGTGATGCAAAATGAATCTTCCGTAAATTAATTTAGGATTGGGTGACGCGAACTTTTTATTTTTTAAAAGGGTGCCATTGCTATTAAAAACAAGGTTGAAAAATACTGCACTAAACAATATTGTAATTAGTATATCATAACGAAGTTACTTAAGAAACATTATACTGACGTTAATCAAGAATCATTATCTACTTACCAACGAAACATTAATTAGTATCACATTGAAGTTAATAAAGAACGTTTATACTTAGTTCGTTACTAAAAAACATTAACTAGTATAAAATAATGAAAATGGGTTAATAAAGACACATTAACTTGTAATCATTATAATAGTTACAAGGAAGTGACCGATGCAGGTAGTACCAGGCGCCATGTTTACCGTATTTGCGTCACGTTAGTAATTTTTGTTTGCAAAGTGTGCACCGTTGTGTTTGTTTTCCTCATGCCAAATTTTTGTGGCGGGATACCGATACATGACAACAACTATTTTTGAGGATGTTTCCTTGTAATTATGTAAAGGGTGTGGTGTGTCTCACTGGACCAGTGCAGTGTGAGTCAATAACACGAAATCCGCGATGAATTCCCATTGCGATGTTTAAAACCAATTAAAATCAAATAAACTTTTCTTTTGAATATAACAGCTGGAATGGAGGGGAGGGGGTATTGCTTAGTGCAGTTGTCGTGGATGCAATTACTTGTAAATTTGTCTTTTGGTCTGATCACGTGTACGTGCATGGTAGATATCGATGGTCCAATGATGTACACAGAAAAAGATACTCAGAGGAGGCCCCCCCCCCCCCCCCCCCCCCCGTCGGAGAGGAGGAGTGAGTGGAAGGGGGGGGGGGTTATAGCCTATAATCATAAGTAATATCTGCATAATTAATAATTTAATTCATTCCGTTCTTTTGATCTTTTGTAGGATGTCATGCTCAGTGCACAATAACTCACAACTGGAGTCCTGTATTACCCGAGACGAACTATGATCGTAACACGTCTAGTGTAAACGACCCCGCTGGAAGGCCGCTCGGATACGCACAAGCAGTCATTGAATATTCAGACAATGAAAACCCGATTGACCCATGCATTCACGTCACAGGAGCTACAGACAGGCGAATCGAGATTATGGTGAGAGTTTAGAAAGATCAAATTGATTGAGCATTTCAAACCATAGAATTGTACATAATGGTTTCTTTCTTTGTCTCTCTATCTTTCAATATTTCTTTCTTTCTGTCTTCCGTATTTCCTTCCTTCTTTCCTTCCTTTCTTTCTTTTCCCTTCTTCTTCTTCTTCTTCTTCTTCTTCTTGTTCTTGTTCTTCTTCTTGTTCTTCTTTTTCTTCTTTTTCTTCTTGTTCTTCTTCTTGTTCTCCTTGTTGTTGTTGTTGTTGTTGTTGTTGTTCTTCTTCTTCTTCTTCTTCTGCTTCTTCTTCTTCAAAACTGTCCCCAAAGATATAGCATAGAGGTTTTTCGACTGTGACCATCAAAATTGATAAAGGCAAAGTGAGATTAATATTGAAATATAAAAAGGCAAGCAAAACAAGAATAATTGGGGGAAAAGGAATAAAAGTATACAGAGAAAAAAAAAACATATGAATAATTATATAAGAGAGAAATTTCATCACCCTTCATGATTGTAATTCCATCAGACATGTCATATCTTTACAAAAAGTGTGAGTTTTCATTGACCATGTCATGCCAATATATACGCAACAACATTTTCGTAATTGTTCTTTCTTCATTTATATAGGCGGAATCAGACCCTCCCGGTTCAGTCATGTGGTAAGCTTATTCACTTTCTAAAATTTCTCCGTTCATTTCTCTACGTCATTTAAGCTTTTTAGGAGATGTATCAATAAACATGACACAAACCCCCCCAAACATATCAATAGCATACACACAAATTGCCTTGGAATTGTCTTATATTCTTGTAGATGTCACCGGACTGTGGATCACAAGGCTCGCGGTTCAAGTCCCGCCGCGGCACTTATGTTCTTTTGCAACACATTGATCTACATTATTTTGCCACTCTCCACCCAGGTGTTAAATAGGTACCCTGTAGAATGAAAAAAAGTTAATATGGTTAGATGAGCAAGTGTACGCTAAATCTTGTAGAATCCGATGACCGGGGTAATCTGTAAAGCGCTTTGAGATCGAGGGCATGCAGTCCTGAAATGCGCTATATAAAAACGAGATAATCATTATTATTGTTGTCTTTGCTTACACGCTAATCATACTGACATTATTCTAAGTAGGTGTATCAATATATGAAAATAATTATTGTTACTCGGTTTCTTTTACCAAAGTTAACGCTGCGAAAGGCCCATACACTGACGACGACTTAAATTCATACCGTTCTTTATTTTTCAGTGTAAAGGACCAATCAAACCAAAACCCAATTTGTTCAACGGTAAGTAACCAATTTCTATTTCTACGATTAACTGATTGAGAATGGAGGACAGTGCAAATTATATCTTTTTTTTAAATATAAAAAATCGAAAAGTTTGGATACGTGTCCGGGTCTAATGGAATGATATGTGGTTCTGGAATTTTGACATCTTGCTTTACAGGAGTACTCGACTTCCCCCTATTTTGTAGTTCCTTTTGTAGTTACGGACTTGTTGATTTAATTACTCATTATTCCTAAGTATAACTTGAGGTCAGGCGCGTACACAGGGGGGGGGGGGTTGGGGGTTAACCCCCCCCCCTTTGGTATTTTTTGTGTGTAAACCCCCCCCTAAATTTCCCTAAAACCCCCCCTTTTTGGGGAAAATATTCCCATGGCTGACCTCAAAAAGATGACCTTACCCCCCCCCCCCCCCCCCCCCCCCAACGGAGCAAAATGTCAATTTTTCGCGGCTGGCTGAGTCGTTGCGAAATTTTCGGCCCGATTTATAAATGTTAACCCCCCCCCCCTGAAAAAATCCTGCGTACGCGCCTGCTTGAGGTGTTCACAATTGTACAAGCATCGCTTTTTAATGGACCCCTCCGTTTCCAACACGTATTTCTACATTATTTTGTTTGAAATGCTTTTAATTGATTTGTAATGTTTTGTTGGAAACATTAATAAATTGGAATTGAGTTGAAGACTTAAATTTTTTTGGTGGAAAGTTGCTAAAATCGATTTTGATTGATCATTATTGATTTACCAATAGAAGCCATTGGATTTTCAAACAGTATATGTGTGAGCAAAATGTTAAATAACATCTTTGACTGCCCAAATTCATACATTAACAGTGTTTGAACTACGAAATAAATATAAAAGAATACGATCACTGACGAGAGGGTGGAACAAAATGTCCGAATATCTTGATATTAATGAGAAAGAGAGGATGGATGTTCACCTTTCATTTAATTAAAAACAAAAGTTGTTTAGTTGTACTTATGAAACTATGTGGAAATAATATTTCCCCTCCTCTTTCACAGTTGATCTATGATTGCAGACAAGCGATCGCCGATACCGTTGCTTTCGAATTTTACTGCGATGCTGATAGCTGTGATGAAAGTTCAGTCACTCTCTGGTATCGATTCGTCATCAGCGAAGACCCAGGTAAATAAGACTTCATAAGAAATAAAACAACAACCATGATGATCTTATGTTTAAGCTGTCGGTCCATAAAATGGCAAGGAATGTATAAGAATAATGATGCTACAGCCATCGATGGTGCCAAAAAATGGGGTTAAAGTTAAAGGACGGTATCCAGAATCATCAAAGAAAGTATATTATGGATGGAAGTGGTAAATGTATTTTCCTTATATGACGGATGCTGACTTTTCAACCTGGCCTTTGAAGGTTCCCTCTCAAACACTAAACAAATTGTTCCGCAGTCACTGCTTGCATATAGTCATCAACAGTAATAATGATGAAAGCACATTATTCGACAATGGACGATATTGGGTCAATAAGCATTGTTTAATAAAGTTGTTCATATTTTAGAAGTAACATTTTGTAGAAGGATTGTGTTTTATCAAAAGAAATTTGATCGTAGAATAATAGGGAATTATTAAAGTGAAAGTGGAATTCATTTTAATAACAATCAAGAAATTAATAACAGTTTGTATACGGATTAAAGTATAGACTCTGTAAGGCAATGCCACATTTAAATATGGGATACAAAAAATATGCCTCCTTCATAATTGGTCTCATAACCCTCTTTCAAAGGTTTTTTTTAATTATTATTTTTTTAATTTTTATTTGTTCACGAATATTTAGACAAGAGTAGCCTGATCAGCATCAAAGACATTAAAAACATACAAATATACAAATGAAATATAAAAAGCAAATTAACATAGTCGAAAACATGAACATTTCATAAAGTGGAGAAGATGCATCAAATAAAATACAAGCTGGGACCCGTTCCACAAAGCCTTTTTTTAATGACAAATGACAAAAATCAGTGACAAGTTTGCTGATAAGTAATCAGAAGCAAGGATTTCAGTAGCTTGTAACAAAAACTGTTATTTGTCACTGATGACAAGTTATGTGAAATGGGGCTCTGCATGGTCTTCCTCATGGCTCTGTTTGCATATAACTGACCTATAATAGGTAAAAATAAATGGACCCAAGTATGAAAATTAAAATTATAAAAAAAATATTAATAATCAGGGACGATTTGAGAGTAATTAAAACATAGAAAACAAAATTCAACATGAAGTATTAAGTTTTTATTGATTTAAAAAACCAAGATACTAAAATATATATATATATATTTAATGTTTACATTAAATGGGACAGTTTAAAAAATGAAAATGAAAACTGAATACTTTTTTTGGGCTGCTTATCAGAAACTTTTAGCCATTGTGCCCCATTTGTATAAAGATAACTGGATCTGCCCCTGCTGTGTAAGGCTATTTTTTTTTTTTTTTAATGGTGCAGCCGTCCTCGATCCTGAACTGTGGTGTGCTGGTCGCGATACTGGTGAATACCCGACCAGTCTCAACAACGTTCTCCCTCCCGACACCGACCTCAGCCCTCAAGATCCAAATGCTGGCTTTGGAGGTGCGATGGGCATCGTTGCTTCGACCACCACTGTCGTCATCGCCTCGCTGTTCGGCCTCCTCTTCGTCATTCATTGATGCCGGGGTGATCTCTTTTATTTATCAAATAATCCAATTTGGGTTTTAAAAGTGTCTACATGAAGCGGTTATCAGTTTCTCTTTCCCTCATTTTCTCTGTTCCTATAACCTTATTTTATTTCATAAATTTAAACGAAATGTATTTTTCGATGTCCTGTTTTTAATACTCTGATTATCAAGCAATATAGTTGCCTGATAAAATCCTTCACAGTATAACAAATGGTCCCGACATTTATTTGTCAGACACGGGCGGGAGCTTTTAGACAGTATTAAGATACCTTGATCGAGATTGAATTATGAAAGTTGATCTTTTTTTTCAAATTTTATTCAGGTTTTGGAGTCGCAAATTAGTTTTACATTATTTAAATAATATAAATTATATACATCATGAATAATCAACGCTGCTATAATACATTTACTACTCATATAAAGCTTTTGTGTTTTTTAAATTTTAAGTGGACGGTTAGCAGCAAGCCTATGACAATATGATTTTGGGTTTTGGTTACTAATTTGCCTATTTTTTCCTTTCTGATTATTGTTATCACTTTGGTCATCAAACGAAAGAATATATATATATATAGATATATGTATAAAGGTTTGATAATATGAGAGAAGCAGTTTTTAAAGTAGCTTTCTGTTTCAGGATTTCAAATCAAGCACTCTATAATACTGTTTCAATCGCACTTTATGAACAAAAAATGGAGTGTCCAAGTAAACAACGCGAGTTAAACTTTTGTGTCACCATTTCATTAGTTAAAATTACTTTTTATGCATTTATCATTGTTGAAGATTTTCTACAGATAAACCAGAACTGTGTCGTCTCAATCTAGATTTGATTCCAAACAAACTGTAAAGTGAAGAACTTTATTTCATTATCAAAAGATTGATTAAGCTGTTTTGATATAAGATCAATATTTTGGTTGGATTTTGGTATTCTACATTCATTTGATCTTGGGTCAATGTACTTGCTTTGCTATATAGTTGTTGACATCAATAGGCCCTCTACAAAGGTTATTATACAGATACACATGTTGGATGTGTTAAATATAGAAATGTATACAAAAGTACCTTTATTTTGAAGTCAATTCAAGCTGATTATGAAATGCAAACGCACAATTTTAAATTTACATACAGCTTAAGGAAATTCGGATGAGAATGATATCATTTTCTGAGCTATTTTAAACTGTCAAATTTATGCATATTATATTAGCAGTAATTCCATCTATTTGTAAATCTTTCTTACGAGTAGTTCATATTCATGAATAAATCTGCAAGAATAGAACCTTCATAATTATTCAGAGTTATTGATTCCGTATTGTCTTTTGAAGTTAATACTTATTTGCTTTAGCCCTCTACCCCATCTGAAACAGACCAATTTGGTGATGTCAAATATGCACCATACTTCTTTTAAAGCCCCCCACTCAGTAGCGTACGCCAAAACTTTTTCAAGGGGGGGGGGGGGGGTTAACATTTTTAAATCGGGCCGAAAATTTCGCAACGACTCAGCCAGCTAATGAATAAGCTGGAGGGGGGGGGGGGGGTAAGAGGAAGGACACTTTTTTTTTTGTCCTAAAAAAAAAATCGCAACGACTCAGCCAGCCGCTGAATAAGCGGAGGGGGGGGGGGGGGGGGGGGGGGTAAGAGGAAGGACACTTTTTTTAATTCTTTTTTTTTTGTCCCAAAAAAATCGCAACGACTCAGTCAGCCGCTGAGTAAGCGTGGGGGTGTGGGGGTGTGGGGGGGGGGGGGGGGTAAGAGGACATATTTTTTAGGTCAGCCATTGGGATTTATTTATTTTTTATTTTTTATTCAAACAAAAAAAAACACAAAGGGGGGGGGGGGTTCAACCCCCAAAACCACCCCCCCCCCTGCATACGCGCCTGAATTCACTTATAAAATTGGATGCCAAAATTCACTTGAATTGTGTAATAATGCGAAAGAGGATGTCATTTAACTCTGCAAGGATTTAAAAAAAATGTGTTTAAAGACGAATATTGATGAAAGGATACAAACTTGGGTTTTGTATTTTTTCATCCATATTCGTCTTCAAACACAATCATTCTGAAAATCCTTGCAGAATTTAGTTTTAAATGACATCCTCTTTCACTTCATAATATAATTGAAGTGAAATCTGCCATCAAATGTTTCGGGCTCCCAACACTTTAGAGAAGCTTTACAGATGCTTAGTGACTATTCAAAAGTTACAAGGTTTGTCCAACACTATCACACAAATCATTCAATAAAAAGGCTCAGAACCAGGGGTTAAAGTAAATAACTAATTTAAAGACATCACTGTACACTGTAATGTATTACCATCATCTTTCTCTGCTCCTTCCCATACAGCGTCTTCTAAACACTCAAATTCTTCATTTCTTCTCATCTCTTTTTTCCCCGCACTCTTCCCAACTATCACTTTCTCTTTATTTCCCAATTTTATTTTTCTCAACCAATACATTCCCTGCCCCAATCTTTGGCCTTGACGTGAACAAGAAATCTCTAGTCAAACGGCAGACAATGATGGAAGTATATTGGAATATATATGTTATAAATGTTTCTTTAATTTTTTTCCATACAAAATATATCTCTTTACACAAACCTTTAAAAAGACAAGTTCTACAATGAAAACAACAAAATTATCTGCTGTCGTTAGTTCATTCCAAATGTTTACAATAGAAATAAATCAGTGATTCTTAAATGTTTCACATAAATGTCATTGCTATCAGGTTTTCTATTGTTAATTCACATTTTGAAAGTCTTGGTAGGCCAAAATTCTGAATGTGCTGATGCTACAAAAACATTTGTTATAACATTGTAGCCTTTTCATTCAGAGAGCCTTTCTCAATCTATAGGAAATGCCCTTCTCCTCAACATTTTGTTTTATTTGCATACCAACTTTAAATTTGCATCTAGTTCTTGATATTGAATATTTGAGATGTCTTTTGTCATGGTTGAAAATAAGTCAATCTGTCAATGGGATTTTGATTTCATGTTAAGACAATTTCAATGAAAAAAAAAGTTCCCCCACTGTAAACATCCAAGTCAACAAATGAGTGACGCTTTTTGATCTCTACTGTTCTCTACCATAAAACTAGAAGTACACATGTATATGATTTAGTTTCTTACGCTAAATAAAAACACCAGATAAAATTATTCTGCCTGTCATAACATGCTATACCTACACACTTGTTAATGCCAAGATTTGCTATAATCTCTCAAAAATTACAATATCCAACCATATCCACAACATATCAATATTCTTTATATAGCAAAATGATACTTAAAAGGCTTTCATCATATAAAGGAAATATTATTACACAAATATATAATTCTAAGATTAACATTGCATTGTGTATCTACTGGTGTATCATACTATCAAGACATAAATTTAAAAAAAATCATACTTATGAGATATTTAAGTGAAAGGTATGAAAGAAGTCAATGGTTATTCAGAGTTAACTAATTTTCATGACAATACAAAGCCAACCATTAAAAACTTTCTATATATGCTAATACACAACTACTGTTTATATATAACATTGACTTTTATAGTCTTGTAACAGTATTTAAAGTACTCATATTAGCTGTACAGTACACACACAATCATTGAAACAAAACTTTGTTAGCATCCTCAGTGAAATTGCAGTGTTTGATTTTTAGAAAGACAGAGGTGGTAAAAGTTAATAATTGTACACACATCCACATTAATTTCTTTTTGTTCTATCAAAGATAAATCATGTATAAAATGAAGAACCATAATTAAATGTAATCAATATGATGAGAATAATTCATGTACAACTGCATTGGTATGAGATCACACACATCAAAAGCTACCGAGAGCATATTACACAACTTTAAAAATCTTGCTTAATGAAGATGGAATGTCGATTTTCGGTTCCACAACTCTTGTAACTTGATACATTTCATGGTTGATAAGCAATCGCATTATATTTCTTCAAGAAAGGCACTGAAATTCAAAGACTTATAAATTATTCAGACAAAGATAGGTAGAAAATATCACACAATATTGTTAAAGTGAAGAACATTATTCTTTTAATATATAAAAAAGATTCTGCATGACCGGCATGAAATAATAACTGACCTTTTGAATCAGTAATTTCTATAATGTTACATTAGCTTTATAAAATAAAATAACTTTGAAACTACTGATGTGTACGAATATATACTGAACTGTACTTTACATAATTGAAGGAAAAAGAATTTCTTCATGTACAGTCACATACTTTGGACACTACTTATGTCCTTATTGCCTGGCAATGAAGATCACTGTTAGAAAGGCACAAAGAGTTAGAGAAAAGGTTGCCCCTAGCGACGTGCCCCTCCCAGTGGGCATCGTTTTAGCTCTAGTCACGGGTACAGGTACATTGTTGTATAGACTGCTTGGATATTCGTCGGTATTGCGATTGAAGCACCAAAGTTCAGGATCTAGTACAGCTGAAAAGTTGAAAAGAATACTTGATGAAATTAAACATGTTTCAAGATTTTTGACAAGATACTAATACAATAATTGTATTGTGATGCCATTACAGACTAATTATGTTACATATGTCTTTCAAGTCCTTAATTTTAAATTCAAATCTCTGTTTTCAAGTGGTTCCATGCTGTCTAACATTAAAGGCAATGTTTAATTCTTCCCTTTCATTGGGGTCTGCAAACAGAATATCCACTTTAAGATTTCAAATAAAATTATGGATTTAAGAAGAAAAAAAAAGAATAGGCATTAAACCATAAATTCTACAATTCTAATATAATGTGCATGTTACAATTTTTTATAATTGTGTATCTTTCTGATCTGTTAGACAATACAGATGTCATGAATTACTTTTATTCTTTGGCAGAGCTTTACTTCATCTTAACAGCATGAAAAAAACAGAAACATAAACATTACCATGAGTTGTTGTTTTCATGACAATCAACCCAGAATACGTACAATGCTAGTTTTCATGCACTGCCAGCTCATTTTCATACTTTTAAAATCAAATTTGAAATCCTTCAACAGTTTCTGAAGAAAAAAAAATCACACACAAAGAGCAGCTTACCTCATACACCATAATAACAACTTTGGATTTATATAGCTCTTAATACAATAAATCGTCTCTAAGCGCTTTACGACATATTATTACCCCCGTCATCAGATTCATTTGCGCACAATGTGCACCATCTCCACTCCCTGAAGCGTATTCCTACCATATGGTTACTGTGAGGGCATAGGCAATTACTATCACAAATGCTTTCATCATCCTACATTTCTTTCTTGGGTATTGAGTCGCAAATGAAGATTAATGCCTTGCCAAAGGACATTAGTGCTGTGTCGGGGATCGAACCACGACCATTGAATTGCAAGTCAAGCACTTAAACCACACGCCTACGACACTTCTACTTGCGACATGAAGTTTGATGAATAATATAAACTGAGGGTCTCACCTGGATCACTGAGGACGAATCTAAACCAGAAGTTGACAGCACTCTGGTCACAGCTTGACCCCTGGCACGAGAATTGATAGGTCACCTCTTCACTAGGACAGGGAACACAGCTGGAGATTCTCTACAACCAAGAAGTTACCAAAAAGAAGGAATTAAGTTATATTAACTTGACATATATTTCACTTCATCCAAAACCCTAAATCTACATCCATGCCAATGGCATTTACTTATGGTTTCCAAGTGCATGACACTAGTAGTTAACTAACCCAAAGAATAACTTTAGTTGTTCCGGGGATTTATTGGATTCTTGCCCGTCAATCTACAAGATTACCCACCAAAGTGAATGAGAAAGGCATAAAGCAAGAATAAAGTACAGTTTCTCAGCAAGACATGGGCATCGCCATTTTCTTGAGAACATGACAAACTATGCAGAGTCGTTTATCAACTAAATGTATTCAAATTTATAGATGCTTCCTCCCCAGATGTTTGTGGTGTTAAAGCATTTCATTCACCTGCTATTATCCTTTGTACTCCACTTGCTAGAACGTAAATTGCATAAATAAGTTGGTGCTATTCTGGGGTGAATGTTTTGCATAAGAAATTCTGCTATATTTTAGTATTTGTAACTATTGTTACCCAATTATATATTTTTCACCAACTGTAATTTTTAACTTCTCGGCTATGATTTTCCCTGATTGAAAAGTAAAGTTTTTTTTATTAGATCAAAAAGTCTTTTCCAATTAAAGCTTGGTGCATGATACATGTACAACTCTGCCTGGTACATCAGATTTTCAAGAAAATGGCTGCGCCCATGTCATGCTAAAAGGCCTTGCATCATGCCAAGAAATCTTTGTTTATATCTCTTGTATACATTTGTAAGATTTATTGTACATCAAAAGGCAGGAATTTCTCTTGTTTGTCAGAATACCTACATTTATTCTTTGAGGTTAGTTCTCCTTTAATTTGCATGCTCACAAGGCTGTTAGAGTGTTACGGGTCAGACTTACCTCTTGACAAATAAGTTCTCTGGTGGCAGCATCTGTGGTAATGTCTTCAATGCTGAAAGATCAAATTATTTTATTACAAAATTGCTCATTAAATGTTTGGTATCATTAGAGACTCTGCATTGAAAGATTCATAAGATCAAAACAAAATGATACCTAAATCTCTCTATTTGGATTAAACAGGTTTCCATTGCACTTTCATTAACATAAAGCATAATGATAGTAGAAACAAAAATGACATTCAAATGAAGGTTTGATTCTAACTCTTCTTTAAAAGGGCTCTATGAGACATATGCTATCCTGCCTTCTTGTGGCTTAATCAATGTAACACAGTTTTGTGGTCTCCCCCCTTGTTGACTGTATTAATACTATAAACATGGTGATCCAAAAATTATATACCCGGTTACTATTGTGAGTGCCAGAAATCTTTCCCAAGATGGTGGCAGCGGTGGGATTGGGAAAGCTATTTTTTAAATATAAATCATACCGTACCAGAAAAATAAAAGTATTAAAACTACCTTATGTTCTACAGGGACTAAAACAATTTTCTGGTAAACTAAAAATCTTTGATGGTGATAAAATATGTATGGCAGTTAGATCTCCTCACAAATCATGATTAATGTTGACCCTTATGTTTTCTTCACATTCATAAATAATTGCCTTGATTTTTCTGTGATGGAATACTTACCAAATTCTGGCCAATGGATCTGTTTCGACCTGTAGATGTAAAAAAAAAAAAAAAAGTGGGGGGAAACAAAGATGGACACAAATACCAAATTAGCAATCCAATAGAATGAACCTTGAAGGGTTGGAACTGATTTGAGTTTTTGATTGTGATTTAGAACTAATAGCTCTTTTCAAAAATTGGGTGTCTGTAATGCAGCACTGAAACATCTAGGAAGGTTGAACAGCTTTCAACTCTTGGTAGAGTAATTTACACTTATACAGAAAAATATTCATTAACCCACTTCATGTATCCCTGTTGTATTGCTGAGGAATAAACTATGCCTACATAACAGCAAAATCTGAATCAGAAAACTGTCATTGCTTCATAGAAAACGAATCATATCTTCCATGGTACATGCATTCACATGTAGCTGTAAACAAATACCCAGAAAATCAGAAATCTTGTTTATTGTGTTTGTGATGGTCCAAAGGTCTGGACTATATAGGGCCTTCTTTTCTCAAGACACCCACTTTAGTTTGGTTTTGCTTGAAGTTTATTCCACTTGAAATACAGTTTATACAAATACCATGTAAAGACCTCTATATCATCTGTTTAAAGCCAGAAGGGTGTTAACTCTTTTATTTTACAGAGAGTTAAAGGTATAGACCAGTTCTGGTCATGCGCTTGCATTGTGAAAGAAACATTGTGGAATCGATCAGAAAAGGTTGATCATCTAGCATATAAGTATTGGTGTGTATACTGCGAGGTTCTGGAATCATCGAGATGATAAGTAATTTGGCCCAGTCTTGGTAAAGTTACAAGCACTGTTCACAGAAAGATGTTTATGGGACTACGCGATATCTGTCCAGGCCGGAATTTACCAAATATATTAATTAGTTGGCGGTTTCCCGGTAAAATTTGTATCATCACGTACTAATCAAAACATATTCTTTTACATGATTGGTAACAAGAGCTTCCATTTCATTTTTTGAGAGGGGGGCGTTTCGAAAACTGATCTATACCTTTAACACCCTTCTGGCTCCACCTAGATCATGAAATCACAGTGGACTGTTTTAAATGCAGAATCCACACGAGCCTTGGATCTCCTTACCATAATGTCCACATAGTTGATACATCCAGTGACTGTCACGCAGGGTGATCTTGCATTAGCATCATTAATGTAATCAAGGGTATCTAACTGATAACCCAATGGTCTTCCGTCTGGTTGGTTGATGCTTGCCGGATCCCTGTCGTACGTCGACTCGTTCCTGACAGGGTCCCAAGCTTTGGCGTCCTCAGGTGCGCATTGTGCCTCACAGTCTATTTTGGAGTGAAACAGTCACAAATGAAGAAAAAAATGAATTGTGATTCAGCATTTCTTAACTTTCTCTTCTTTGGTTGAACTGTGCAGATACATGTATATACTCTGAAACATGCATAAAAGTTCATAATTTTCTTCTGAAAGAAAAGTAATGTTTCATGTATTCAGAGAGAATTCTAATTTCTTATAGCTTGTACAGATGTTGCTTACTACATTGTGTATATATGTAGGAGTATTTGCTGTATTTACTGCCACTATTAGTTACAATTTGAATAGTATATGAATTTCACCTAGTAATATAACTAATTCCTGATGATATTGCAGTCTAAATCGAGAGGTCCATCCTGCGCAGGGGCCCCACTCACAAGCTTGGTTTTTCGGGGTCCTAATTTGGATCATAAACTGAACTGAACTGAACTGAATGGAGGATTAGCCTTGAATATTTCCTGATCCTTGTTCAACTCTTCCTTTCCTTGTCACACGATTCATAACTTTGTAATACATGTAGCCTACACGTACAGGTCAGAGCAATGATAAGGTACACTACAGTAGCCCACTTCCTGTCTGTCTATAGTATGTACGATACTATAAAAGAAAACAAGGCCTGTAGCATATACAGTTGACAACTGAATTATCAATCATACCCTTACCAAGTTGTGTCATTTTACAAGTTTGTTAAAAATTGATTAGTCCTAAATTATGCTTGAACTTTAGAATGTGACACATTAAATCTTCCATCGAAAAGTACTCAACAAAGACCATTATTAAACCAGTCCACCTTTTATTCTCGAGTTACCAAAGACACACTAAAAAAATAATTTAGTTGTTGACTGTAAGTGTGGTTTATGACTGATTGACTGAACAATACAGTTTTGCAAATTGATAATTGTTCCAGGCTCTCAGCAGTACCGTCTAAGCTACAATGTAGTTAGTAGAGAGAGATTGAAATTATTATGATTAAATGCTCCAAGTCTCCTACAGTCTGCTGAAAGCAAGAAAGGTGTTTAATAACTTATTATTATTTTACATGGAGTTAATGCTTTTCTGGCTTTTATCAGGAATGGGCTGATTTTAAGGATCTAACAGAGAGGAAACATTTCTCTTTGAAGGCAGATTTCTCAGAACGGGATTATGTTACGGTATTGAGTATTATATTCTATATAAGGCTTCCATGTGGTACAATAAATCAGTGTACATGTATTCAATATCATTAGCGCAGTACCCGGATGACTGACCAATATTGTTTTCGTATTGCTCAGTTATCCAGGAACTATTGATATCGATATCAATATCACACACAAAAAAAAGCCATATTTGCTGAGGTAAGTCAAATGTTGTTATTTCGCTAGTCAGCCTGGTACAAATAATGAATGGTTATGAGTTCAATGGTGTGAATATTTTCATGAGTTGAAAGATAAACATTCTATTCAACGAGGCGTCAGCAATTAACGTTAATCTTTCAACAAATGAAAATATTTGCACTATTGAACGAATGAAAAACATTCATTAACGGCAGACAGGTACACAGTCTGCATATAACCAAAAATACACTGCGAATATAACCAAAAATGCACTGCGAATATAACCAAAAATGCACGCCCGTGTAATAAAACATCAATCTATTGAATATCATGTGACCAACAATCCTCCACGTAGTATAAATAATAATAACAATATTATATGGCTTTGTTTTTGTGTGATACAAGAATATATTGCTCTCGCTTTGACACAATATTGGAGTCGTCTCCGACTCGTTCAATATTGTCATAGCTCAAGTAATATATTTCTGTATCACACTCAAAGCCATCCAATATCATATAAATACGAGAAAATACTAGTATCTAATTATACCATACACATGTAGCAAAGTGCGTACTAAGTTAGTCCACACTTTTATGGAGTGCCTGTTGTCAACTCATTTATCCTGTACAGATTATTTTAATCCTTCAATGAAAAGTCTCCAAAAAATTAATTTTGCAATGAAATGGGAAGAAAAAGATAATATGAGTATGAACTGAATTTCCAAAAAGTCTTTGGTAGATTATCTTTGTCATGAATATTGAAGGAGGAAGATGAAACCTAGCATTCTATAGAAGTGTGAACTAAAATTCTTGTTTAGTCTGGACTTAGTCCCGGCTTAACTTATGAGAATACCACCCAATGCTCATAATCAGTTGATTTTCAACAAGATTCTGGAAATGCACTTGTACATTGCAGGCCCTACTTGTAACATGTGAGAAGTTTAAAAATATGGTTCTCAAACATTTGAATCCTTATCAGATATTTTAATTTCAATATATGTTTTACTTTTAAAAAGATTTTAATCTTAAATAGACAGCATAAATCAAACCTTATATATTTTTGTTGTACAACCACATACTACACCATCATAATTCACTTTCAATCATTAAAGAAATTGACATTATCATAAGCAGTGCAGCCTTCTTAATACTTGGTCAGAATGAATCTACATGTACATGTACATACTAATTCCAATGCACAATATAAGTTGAATATTTTTTACTCTTCAGAGACTAATTGTTGTTTTCACTTCATAGATCACAGTAATTTTTCATCAAAAAGTTTAACTAATATATATGATTTACTAGCCTTTCTGGCACAGAGTAACAAGTAAGCACAATAGCATATTGTGTGACTTTTAATTGGTACATAAATATAAAAGATGACAGTATAAAATCTATAAATATGATTCGTTGGGCTGTGACTCTGTAATTATAGGTGTGATTCATGCCAGTGCACATACACAAATATTTGTATTGACTGTTGTTTACAACAAAAAGTGCAGAGTATTCCATAATTTCATCGAGTCTAAATCAATTTCCTGGTTCGCTTTGTTCAGGTCAATGAGTCTGGATAAAGTTGTCGCCTTGTCGGAAATGAGTTCATTTATCAAAGGATTTTTATACCCTCGTAAATTCATGGAAACCAGTAGCACTACTTTAGAAATTCCTAAAGAGAAATCAGTCGTACAATTTTTGAAAACATTGCATGCCGGACAAGATTTTGAAAGATTTTGCTCTGCCACAACAGCCTACAGTGTTGCATACTGTAATATATGATGTGATACCTATATGATATTTTAGTAAAGAAATAAAGATACAATTCAATCTCATTCAGTCAAAACTAAAAAAAAAGAAAAAAAGTTAGAATTATATTAAGTCAATGTTTAATTACACCCTGGTAAAGTTTTCCAAGGAATTCTTTTTTCAATCAATGCAAATCATCTTCATCTAGCACTGGAATTTTCAATGACCTATAAAAAGGAAAATAAAGAGGTCTCTGAAGGAGTCTGGATCACTCTCAGCAGTGGCACAGCTATCGAGGGGCAGGGGTGAAATGAATGGCAAAAAAGGTGAGGAGAAAAATTGAAAGAGAGGAAAAGGAATGGACAAGGAAAGACGAGAAGGGAAAGAAATGGACACTCTCCCAAACTCCAGAATTCATAACCCCGTTCTCCCATCACTGCACGGTAGGTTTACTTGTACCGGTAGTCCAACATTCTAAATTTTGTAAAACCACAGACATTCCACTTTCCTTTCAAAGATATACCCCTTCAATGTACAGAAAAAAGTATTTCTCTTTTAATTATGCATTAATATAATATACTAATTAAATTAAATGACACTGGTAGTTATTGCCCGAGTTATTGACATTTCATTGAAGTGCATTTCTTAAATGAAAATCAATGTTTGCATTGATAGCTTAGACCTTTGCAATAATACTTTAAGGTACTTTAATTAAGGTATTTAACTCCAAGATTTTTTCAAAATCATGAACATGTTCAATCCATCTTTAGTCTCAGACTATAGGTTTCATGCTCTTTGAGACCTTGTTCACTTCCACAATAAATATATCATATTAAAATGTTGACATGTAATCCTATGCGTCTAGAAGAAAAAGGGGGGCAACTTCATTCATAAACTGAACCAATCCTGAAATGAAAGTTTATGAAATACCCCTGCAAAAATACCTCCACCAATGGCTATCGCACACCCATACGGCCGGTACCGGGTAGAGCGTATTCCAGACCTGTTGAGCGGGGTAACTTCATTGTCATTATACTCTCACCTCTTCTCAAGCAGGGCTAAGGCTCAAATTTGGTAACGAAAACGAATTGTTAGAACACCGCGCTTGTAACCCAAATTGTGTCATTATATTTAAGTTTTACTTACCTTTTGAATATAGCACAAGGATCGTGAATAGCAATACGAAAGCTAAGTGTAGGCCCCTCATCATCTACAGTTTATAACTCACTTCAGAGGAAATTTTGTATGACGTTTTCGTTCTACAAAATGACGCGAGAAGTGTTGGCTTTTCCAATATTATGACTCAGCTAGACAGCTATTGTCATTGTAATTCCTTATGTGTCGGTGTACCGGTAGCGAAATTTGTTGGTATAGAGTTCAATTTAGCGTTCCGGTAGGCCAATTATATTATTACCCTGAATTATTTATATATCTCTCTCTCTCTCATTTCTCACTCCCCATGTTTTTCTTTTCCTATCCATTTTCTCTCTCTATTATTATTATTATCTATATTCACTCTCTCCCTCTCTCTCACAAAATGGGGGAAGAAAGAGTGTCAGTGTATGTACCCTATAACTTTTATCTCAATATGAAGCATTTTGTTATTAGGCCTATAGGCCTACCCGATTGCACTTATACTTATGAATACTTATGAATACAATGTTTAGATCATCATACATTCAAAATTAAGATCAGTTTTATATGATGGCTTTTTACAGCCATTTTTCACAAACATGTAGCAAAATTAAAAAAACTAATTTTGCAACCCATGATATAAAATTTTGCAAAAAAAATTATGACTTTTTAATGCCATTTGTAAAATTCATGAAAAATTAAATTTTTCTAAATTTTGAAATAACATTGTGAAAATGGCCGTAAAATGCCACCAGTTTCCCAAAACCAAAAGACACATGCACTCACAATCATCTATCCCAAATTGGTTCTTGATTTTTAAAATGCATTTACCCAGGCTACAAGTATAACTCTAAAAGGATATAAAAAATAGACTCTTCTCATTATTCCTCCGTGCCTCAGAATAGAGCACTATAGCACAAAGGCACATTCTAAATGTGGTATTTATTTGTCATCATGTGAATAAGTAATAATAAACTAAAGGCCCAAACTCACCATCTGCCTGCCCAAGATGTGCATACACAAGGAGAACTGCAAACAACATCCATTGACAATAAATATGATCCATTTTTGTAAAGTTTACAAATATTCATAATTCTCTCTGATAACCAGGGGTATTTATGGCACCCCAATAAAATGCCAGTGTACTGAACATATATAGCTATGGAAGTCGTCGACATAAAATGACATCGCACCGTAGTTAATCATTCACAGACAAATGATAAACACAGATTAAATTGGCCTGCTAATTGCTTCCAGTAGTACCATCAAGTTTAATAGTCTACTAGGTATTTCTACAGACTGTTATAACTGACACAAAATAGTACCGGTATTCATTCATAAGTTTAGCAGTTAAAATGGAATGAATTTGATTTCCATATTCCTACCTTTAAATAAAAAAAAATAAAAAAATTGTATATGCTCATCTGTAATAACAAATTTCTTAATTGAGTTCTCATGAGATTAACAATAATTATGCCTTAGACATTTTCATCTAAAGCATATAACTTGTGTATTCCTAGTTTTATTCCTCTCGTACACAAAAAAACAAGGACAAGACAATTGGCATCATTGTTACAATAGAATGACTCTTTATTTGTATCCATTTTTCATATTATAACCTAGATTACTTAAAGTAATGATTCATAACAAGTTCTTCAAATCAATGTGATTTCTCGGCAAGATCGAGTGAACATAAAATAAGAAACTGTCTTTCCTTTGGTCTACTATGGTAACCATAACTTCCTTCAAGATGCGAGGTATGACAGCGCATACAAATTAAAAACACATATTATTCTTTCATTAGGAAGGTAAAGATATATCCCAGTCATATAAGGTAGGAAAACATATATCCAGTATATAAAGACTATGAATGAACATGTGCTTTAATGCTATATCTTTCTTTCTGTGTGATGAAATGTCCAGTTAATTAATCTACATTTTTTTAAATTCTTCTTAACCTGAGCCTCTTATGAAAAAGATGATACATGTAAATGAAAATTAGGTATGTTAGTTTTAGTAGTCATACACTGTTCAAAGAAATAAATTGGCTCATAATTAAAAACAGTACATCACACCATCGATACTGCCTGCAATACCAGTAGTCAGAAACATATATCGTCTGCAAAGAGCCACATGCCATCACCGATAACTTCTATTTTGACATTAAGTGGACACCCTCCTGCACCTGCCCTCCTGACTCTCAGCAGATGATAAGTATTTATAACTCTTAATCAGATAAATATGATCGTAGCTTTTAAATTGTCAAAACTATACAATTACAAGAAGATTTCTATTAATAGTTTACCTCACTGCTAAGAAAGCATTTGTATGCTTGTAGGTAAGCAGCCAGGAGAACGATGGCTTTAAGACCTTTCCGTGGGACTTGGTAATGGGGATTAATGCCTTACCAAAGGGCACATGAGCATCCACTTGGCTTCAAACCCGGGTCCTCCCGGTTACAAGACCACTGCTCTACCACTAAGCCATCTTCATCGGCAGATATGAGGTCTAACTTTTAGGGATTTGTCATAAATTCACTTACAGATGTTTCTTAAAGATTAGTTGTTTTTGGTAGTATTTTGATTTTACTCTTAAATCAGGTAACCAAACACCCTCTTCATATTTTGCACAAGGACTGAACAGCCTATGAAGCTCGGCTAAAACTGTGATATAATAATTTTCTTGAAATAAATATGCAACACTAGAGAGATCACATGATAAAGCATGTTTGGAAATTCATAATTTCTCAATAAAAAATCACACAAGTTTGTACCCAAGATATAACTGTGCATCAACTTTTTTTTACATTAATAGAAAATAAGCAATCCATGTAATGATTAAAAAAAAGTCAAGGTCGTGATGACTAATAGTAATAGCTTATTTAATAAAAAGAAACTTGAAACATTGGAGGAATTTTTCGCCATTGTTCTTCTGAATTGTCCTTTGTACAGTAATATTTTCTACTGTCACTTACATAACACATAATAATCAAAATCATATTACCGTACTCAGTACTTCACAAATTTGAAATAAATCGGTACTCTTTAAATGTCTGTGCTTGCTTGGCAAAAAGTAAACAACTGTAAATAGTAGACAACTGTAAATAAACATCAGCTTCATCATGCCCAGACATCAAAAACCATCAAGTGTGCTACAGAACTATTTTCAAAATGTAGATTTGAATCCTAAATTCAAGTAAAGTGGCAGAGAAACTAGGAACACAAGCATGTCCACATACGTTGCTTCATCCTCACATCTTAATATTGCATGGTTGACGCTTTAAAAAGTGCATTACACATGATTATCATTTCATTTGATAAGGATTCATATCGCCATCCTATGATGTAATAATTCTAATTTTTTTTTTGTGGATTGTCATTATCTGGACAAGAAGAAAAAATGAAATAAAAAATCTTAAACTGTAATATAATGATGTGAAAGAAACTGCAAATTCACTAGCGGTCTAAAGCACACTCTGCTTATATAAAACCTTTGGATGCATTCCATACTGTGTGGAATAAAAACTCTCCTAATGCACCGTTTGTTCATGATTAAAATTCATGTACCGTATATAATGTGTAACAAAATTCCACAAACAAAATTGGAATTCGTCAATTTCTTTCAAGTCTTTGGTTATCATGTCACCATTTTTACATTTTCCAGCTGAGTAAAACAACAATTCATCCTTAGGATTTATGAATGACAAATATATTACACAATTGTACCTTTTACAAAGTATGAATGAAAAATAACATCAGACTCTTTCAACTTACAACTTAAACATAAATTTCAAGATGTAAATTTTGATGAAGTACAAAAGATGAAAAATTTACTCTATCCCAGAGTTGATAACAACAAAGAACATAATAAGTACAACAACACTTACCAATAATAAGAATAACAAATACAATATACACGAAAATTTGAAAAAATGGTAAAATATAACATCTATGAGTACGATACCATCACAGTTCTTGGTATACACATAATATATATATATATATATATATGACATCTGGATTTGATCAAATAAGGTGATGGAGTTGATTTAGTTTAGTTCCTTTACATCTCTGTGACCATGACTATCCCTTTGTGTCGCCGAGATCATGGGGTAAAGGTTCAATTTGAGCATTGATGTTGAAGGCGAGTTGACCGGAGATAGCGGGAAGACTGCCCTGGCCGAACTCGGTGCTATCATAGAGAGACTGGCTCAATGTGTCGTCTCTGCTGACCGAGTAGGGCAAGTGGTGGGTTTCGTCATCGTTCTCGTCGGGTTGGGAGGCATATGAAAGCAGGAGTAGTTGCTTAGATGCTCTGAAGGAGGGGGAAGGAGAGAAATAGAGAGAGAGAGAGAGAGAGAGAGAGAAAGAGAGAGAGAGAGAGAGAGAGGGAGGGAGAGAGAGAGAGAGAGAGGGGGGGGGGGGAGTATCATTATCAGTTATTTCAATTCTTTTTAAAATTCTGTACAATGGACTATATGTATCAACTGAAAGTAAAAAATTGAAGGAATTTATGTAAGCATTGTCTCATAAAAAAATCTTTAAACAAAGGGATATAACTGAAAAATAATGAACGAATGCATTTATTGTTGTATTGTAATTTGTCAGCTTGTCAGTTCTTTCATAACTTTTCAGCTATTATATTGCAAACCTATGTAAGGGATTAAAAAAAAAAATCAAATGATAAAAAGTGGAAGAATATATTTAATCAATGGTAGGACTACACTACATTGAATTTAACCTTTCTTTGTCCATATCAGTTTTGTTACAAATAATTATTCAATAACAAAATCAATAAAGTTGAAAAATTTCAAACTTCTTTTTACATTTATCTATTCATATACGGTAGTTTCTATGTTTATAACAATCACCTAAAAATGATACTTACTGAAAAAAATTATGAAGGAATGTGATGTAAATTAAAGGTGCAAAACAGGTAAAGTACAGGAACGAGGTGATGTCTACAAGGCTGTAAAACAAAAGAGAGAAAAAAGGAATGTTTTATACATTTTGAAATTCATTACATTTGAAAAAAATTAGGCAAGAGCAAATTAAGCACAATATTTTTGCCCTCTTGGCCGTCTTGTGGAATGCTAAATTACAATTCATCAAATCTAATCATCAAATATATATTTTAACAATATTTCTACACTAAATGCATACTCAAGCAATCATGTTATGGATGCAATAAAAGATTTATGAATAAATCTCAAATTACTCTTCCTCCCTAAATACAGTCAAACCTGTCTATTAAAGCCACCAAAGGGAGACAGAAAAAGTGGTCACTGTAGACAGATGGCACTTCTAGAAAGGTTCGACAACACATAGTCCTTCATAGAGTATGACAAGAATGGTGACCACCATAGACAGGCGGCCTTTATAAAGAGGTGGCCACAAACACAGGTTGACAGTGATCCAGCATCAATCGGTCTAAACTTTATTTCATCATAGTTTTATATCGGGTTGGGGTTTAGTTTACGGTGGCAATTGGACTGTATGTTAGGTCTAGGGTTAGAGTTACGAGTTAGATATAGTTTTTGGTCCAGGATTACAGAGATACAGTAGGTCAGTGTGGGACAACCATGGAGTGAAGCAACAGACAATGTAAATGATATTGTTGTCGTCAAGACTACTGTCAAAGCTTACCATATTGCTGGCTGGACATCACCATAAACAAGACCACTTCCTATGGCCTGACTAAAGTTGAGTAATGTTAATGATGCTACGTAGCAGTAAAAAGATCTCTTTGCTGTAACGAAAAAGATGGATAAACACAGTTATGGTATCAATTTGACCTTCTTAATCGAAATTTGATAATTCTGGAGGTAGTAAAGGGTTCTGGAAATGAAAATGCATTTTGAGAGAAAAATCTAAAACATTCTAACTTGTTTGAGATGCAATTGGGTAAGTGCCAAAATTCCCAACTGCACAGCTATACAAATTGAAACTTGAATACTTGGTAATGAGTTTGGTATATGGCCAATTTGATGAATTAAGTTTATGCATTTTATAACATATTTCAGAGTAGAACTGTGGAAAAGTGAATAGCTATAAAAACATACCTTCGAGGGTCATTCTAAGGCATGGGCTCTCACAAAAGCATGTGCTGAGTTTCTTATACAGGCTACATATCAAGAAAATTTTGCGCTGCACTTGCTTCTTTTGCATGTTGATGCTTCTACTTTTGATCTTTCTCAACGTTGTTGTGAATACCAGATATGGAAAAACATCTATGGTTTTACACACATGGATGTTTTTATACACTACTTGATTTTGTAAAAGAGTATATGAATACTTTTTTAACAGTTTCCATGAGAATAAATTCAAATATACTAAAATCTAATCTTGCTTATCACTGGCTTCTTTCAGCTGTTGTATAATGAAAAGGTAATTCCACAGACTTTACTGGAGGTATCAAAGGCAACTTGAGTGTAAACTCACCCGGTAGTTGTATTCTATTTTTCACTGGCGTATAAGGCAGTAAGAAGACAATTATATATGCCTGTAAGAATGACATAAAAACATGTAAAAAATGTGTGACTACTATTGAAATATCATTGAGAGATGAATCTGCAAGTATTGCATAAAAGCTGTACTGGACAATAGAATATGCAAAAGGTTAATCTTTAATTAAAGGGACATATATATGCAAACCTATACTAAGTTATTAAACAAGAACACCTATGAGTTCTATTCAATGGTGTTTGGGGTCTGAGCTTGGGATGTTGGTAGTTTTTCTTTTAGTTGGGCAAATATCACAGGGTTAATGGTTCTTTGCAACACTTCTCTACTATCATTATTAATATCATACACTATGTTATGTTTTTTTTTAAAATAATAATATATGAGTTTGCAATATTGTCGATATATTCTTTTAATATATTTTTTAAAAATTGATCTCTTATTAAACTGCATATGCTTTGTTACCCCTAAGTTTAAGTTCAATAAAATGAACCTCTTTCGGGGGGTTAAAGAACAAAAGAAGTAAATCAGTGAGTTATCTGTAAGATTCAATGAATAAACTAGATGGAATTTTGACTGCGCGCAGTCGAAAATGATGCCCCCGCCATAGAGCAATTTAAACTAGAGAGTTACTTGACCTTTTGTGACCTAAGGTCAAGCCGAAAATTGAGAAATTTGTCATTTTGTGTACAAAATGAATGGCAAAGTGAAGTTTCTAGTTTGGTCTATAAATCAGCATAATTTTACTCTTTAGAGTTTAGTTATCATTTATTCAAGCAAAATATTGATACGTAACAACCTCAAGTATCAGAAGTCCTAAAACAATACAATACATAAGATTAAGAATTAATAACAATAGAATACAAAAGAAGTTCATAAAACAATGAAATACATAAGAATTGAAATAGACATGGACAATTTTTTTATGTGATAATGCCCGATAGGCTTTTTAGAAACTTTTTGCCACAAAATCAACTCTGTAAAAGCTTTATTTATGTAATTGTTAATAAAAATCATTATTCATGAATTTGATTTGCATAAATTAGCATAATTGATAAAATAAGTAATTTTCAGCAAAATTATAGTGAGGTCTCTTCCTTTATGCAATTGCATAAATTAGCATAATTGATAAAATAAGCAATTTTCAGCAAAATAATAGTGAGGTCTCTTCCTTTGCGCAATTTCTCAAGACGCGTGCCAAATTTCGAGGCAATCGGCCCCTCCCCCCCCCCCCCCCCCAGTCAGGGAGGTGCTCAAAATAGCCCAGTTAAGTACGGGTTAAGTAACAGAACATATTTCAAGTGGTTCTTGACATATCATGACAAGTCCTATACATGTAGTCTGAATTTTTCAAGTTGACCTCTATGACCTTTGACATACATGTACTCCAAAATCTAATCTGATCGTTTTCCTATGGTGATATATATACTATCCTTAAGTTTGAAGTTTAAAATCTCAAATGGTTCTTGAGATATCGTGATAACGAGCTGAAGACATGGAATTTCACAAGTTGACCTCTGTCACCCTTGACCTACGTGCTCCAAAATCTAAACAGATCGTCTTCCTATGGTGATACATACTATCATTAAGTTTGAAGTGAAAATTCTCCAGTGGTTCTTGAGATATCGCGATAACGATCTCAATGTATGGAATTTCATAAGTTGACCTCTGTGACATTTGACCTGTGACCTACGTGCTCCAAAATCTAATCAGATTGTCTTCCTATGGTGATACACACTATCATTAAGTTTGAAGTTTAAATCTCCAGTGGTTCTTGAGATATTATGATATGGTGATACATACTATCATTAAGTTTGAAGTGAAAATTCTCCAGTGGTTCTTGAGATATCGCGATAATGATCTCAATGTATGGAATTTCATAAGTTGACCTCTGTGACCCTTGACCTTTGACCTACGTGCTCCAAAATCTAATCAGATTGTCTTCCTATGGTGATACACACTATCATTAAGTTTGAAGTTTAAATCTCCAGTGGTTCTTGAGATATTATGATAACAATCTCAATGTATGGAATTTCATAAGTTGACCTCTGTGACCCTTGACCTTTGACCTACGTGCTCCAAAATCTAATCAGATCGTCTTCCTATGGTGATACATACTATCCTTAAGTTTGAAGTTTATACATCTCCAGTGGTTCTTGAGATATCATGATAACAATCTCAATGTATGGAATTTCATAAGGTGACCTCTATGACCCTTGACCTTTGACCTACGTGCTCCAAAATGTACTCAGATTGTTTTCCTATAGTCATACACACTATCACTAAGTTTGAAGTTTAAATCTCCAGTGGTTCTTGAGATATCATGATAACAATCTCAATGTATGGAATTTCATAAGTTGACCTCTGTGACCCTTGACCTTTGACATACGTGCTCCAAAATCTAATCAGATCGTCTTCCTATGGTGATACATACTATCCTTAAGTTTGAAGTTTAAATCTCAAATGGTTCTTGAGATATCGCGCTAACAAACTCAATACAAGGAATATCATAAGTTGACCTCTGTGACCTGTGACCTTTGACCTACGTACTCCAAAATCTAATCAGATCGTCTTCCTATGGTGATAAATACTATTCCCGAGTCTTAAGTTTAAATCTTAAATGGTTCTTGAGATATTGTGATAACGGTCAAACGGGACGGACGTACGGACGGACAACCCGAAAACATGATGCCTCCGGCACCACCTTCGGTGGCGGAGGCATAAAAACAAACATCAACTGCAAGATACTTACCAGGCAAAATATTGATGAGGTTACACACCAGAAGATCATACCCCCATGAGTAAATATATCATGTTCATTTGGAGCCTTATAATGGTGGTCTGGATATTTAACCTCTAAGCAACCCTGTCAAGAAATGAAGAACACAGGTCAAAAGGTCAATTATAGAAGTGAATAATGTTGAAAGTTTAATTATCAAATGTTATCTAACTCCATACAAGAAATGAATATGAGTTTAATGATGTAATGTTTCTGTTGTTGTTGTTAGTGTAAGATTAGATTGGTATAAACCTGCATGTATTAGCTGCTCATAAGGTTGGTCTAAAACCAAGATAGATTTGATGTTAGGTAATTTGGCTGTGCTTAAAAACAAAAGAAGAAGAAGAAAAAAGTGCCATTACACAGAAAATAATTTGGTAATATCTCCTATGTAATGACATTTGATGCATTGTGGTTGTCTGGAAAGCCTATCCTAGACTATTGGATGCACTCTTGGATTATACAAGACAGGCCATCACAATAGCAGCATGCTCCTAAGTTTAATTTACCTGAACCACCGAATAGCATAAGGAGATAACACATGTAATGAGGAGAATGCGTGTGATGCTCGACCGACTATCAAGGTGACTGAAACCTATTCCAAATATGACCACACACAGCTCAATGGAGAGGAGTGCAAACCTCACTGCTAACCACAGAATCTAAGCAAAGAAATAAAACATGGATGGTTAGTGCCATAAGATGGTTAACATGGACTCAATAAGGAAATATAATTGGAATATAAATGATCACACAAAGTTCACTTGAGCTACATTTCAAGATCTTTTTGTTTGTTGGAACTGACTGCTAAAACAAACATGTATATGCTTGTAAGTAAGTAACCAGGGAACCGATGGGTTTAAGTCCTCTCTGAGGGACTTGGTAATGAGGATTAATGCTTTACCAAAGGACGTAAGCGCATTGAATTGGTTTTGAACCCGGGACCTCCCAGTTATGAGAGCACTGCTCTACCACTGAGCCATCGCGCAGAGATTATTGTGATTTAAGGACTGCAGTAATGGGAGAGTTAAAAGGTAGTAGATATGAACTAAAATTGGTTGTAGACTCTGGATTTACAATGATAATACTAGGATTAAATGAAGCTCTTGTAATAATAAAACGTTAAGTTCATACAAAACTTTTTAATTTGTTTGTAGCATATGTGCCTCACAATAAATAATACCTGTTTTTAGCACAGATGGATGAGGGTATTGGGACTCAAATGGCACTGGATGTGATATTACCATACAGAAAATGGTTTTGCTACATTGTTTGCTAAACTTGTTCTAACTAGCATGCACCTAAAGAACAATCAGAATAAGGTCATCATCTCTGTCTTGTTTCACTCTTCCTCCAATAACCAAGTAATCATAAAGTTAAGCAGATATTACTTTCAGTGTTTGCGCTTATTGTTACAGGAAGTAAATAATTAAATATAGTATACAAATTATTTTCCTGGTTTCACTTCCTGAAAGTGCTTGACCTGATATAGGCAAGTTCGTAGATAAAACTCCTTAAACAAAATCTAACTTCTGCTATATAAAAAAAAAATCAAGATATCTGAAACAGCCATATGCAAAGCATACAGGCTTCTCTCTTTTTTGTGTACAGCCCACACCAGTGAAGTAAAATACAATTTTTTCATGGGAGTGCCTTTTGGAATATAGGGCTCAACAGGCCTTAGGAACTCATGGGTCCCATCATTTCAAATTTTTAGACCCAATAAGTTATAATTTGGACCCCAATGGAAATAGTTGAGAGTGGAGCATCTGCTCGGTGTAATCCTTAAAAACTTTTTTTTTTCTTCCGGAGCTTACTTTTTATCTAATTTTATCTTAAGTCAGTGAGTTTCATCACTGACTGCTCCCATGCATTGTTTTGTTGGCATAATCCTGGAAAAAATCTCAAAATGAAACTGACAAACTCACTGTGTCTGTTATATCTCCTGTCACTGTTGTGGCATCTACAATCATTGACACGGCAGCTCGGATGACACTTACAATAGTTGCAACAAAGGCCTGAAATAAGAAAAGGAAATGCACACTGCAGACAGACTGACAAAACTGGACACATTCGCAAGGATTGTGCAAATTTGAGGCAAAATCAATAATAACAACAATGAGTACATTTGAAATAAAAACTAGATGGAATTCGACTGCGCGCAGTCGAAAATGATGCCTCCGTCATAGAGCAATTTTACAAACCGAAACGGAAGAAATTTTTCAAATTCAAGTTCAATTGTAATCCATTAACATGTTCTCAGAATATCGTGATTACAAGCAATTTCTCATAAACATATATGACCCTTTGATCTTCGACCTCATGACCCTAAAATCTACTCAGTTCATTGGCTCTGCAAGATTTCCTGACTTAAATAGTAATCCATCTGTCAGTTCTAATGAGAATGCGTCCACAAGCTATTTTTGCATACATAATGAGCCCATGACCTTTGATCTTATGAACCATTCATTGGCTCTGCAAGATACCTAAATGATCTAAGTTTGGCAGGAATCCATCAATCTGTTCTAATGATAATACGATCACAAGCTATTTTTGCATACATAATGAGCCGCATGACCTTGACCTTTACCTCATGACCCCAAAATCTAATCAGTTCATCAGCTCTGCAAGTAACATACATGACCAAAGTTTGGCAGGAATCCATCAATCGGTTGTTCAGATAACGCGATCACGAGCTGTTTTTGCATACATAATGTGCGCTGTGACCTTTGACCTCGTGACCCCAAAATCTAATCAGTTCATTGGCTTTGCAAGATACATACATGACCAAAGTTTGGCAGGAATCCATCAATCGGTTCTTCAGATAACGCGATCACAAGCTGTTTTTGCATACATAATGAGCCCTGTGACCTTTGACCTTTGACCTCGTGACCCCAAAATCTTATCAGTTCATCAGCTCTGCAAGATACATACATGACCAAAGTTTGGCAGGAATCCATCAATCGGTTGTTCAGATAACGCGATCACAAGCTGTTTTTGCATACATAATGAGCCCTGTGACCTTTGACCTTTGACCTACGTGCTCCAAAATATAATCAGATTGTTTTCCTATAGTGATACACACTATCACTAAGTTTGAAGTTTAAATCTCCAGTGGTTCTTGAGATATCATGATAACAATCTCAATGTATGGAATTTCATAAGTTGACCTCTGTGACCCTTGACCTTTGACATACGTGCTCCAAAATCTAATCAGATCGTCTTCCTATGGTGATACATACTATCCTTAAGTTTTAAGTTTAAATCTCAAATGGTTCTTGAGATATCGCGCTAACAAACTCAATACAAGGAATTTCATAAGTTGACCTCTGTGACCTGTGACCTTTGACCTACGTACTCCAAAATCTAATCAGATCGTCTTCCTATGATGATAAATACTATTCCCGAGTCTTAAGTTTAAATCTTAAATGGTTCTTGAGATATTGTGATAACGGTCAAACGGGACGGACGGACGGACGTACGGACGGACGGACGGACGTACGGACGGACGTACGGACGTACGGACGGACAACCCGAAAACATGATGCCTCCGGCACCACCTTCGGTGGCGGAGGCATAAAAAACTCATTCTTGGTCTAAAATATCAACTTCATTTCCAAATAATCATTGCCATTTGACAATATAGTCAACCAGTTATCACACATTTCTGGTTAAAAAAAAATAAAAGCATCATTACAGAAAAGAAGAAAATGTATTTTTATATTTAATGATAAATATATATTTGTTAACATGCCACACAGACTATGCCAACTTTAACACATTTGTCAGACTATTTTCAATTCTTGCCGTTTAGAGAGACCATACAAAAAACTCACCATAATGTAGAATGTGACAAAAATTGGTCTATTGGTTTGGCGCAACTTGGCCACTGCAACCTTTGACCTGAGAAGCAGGAAGAGTAGGAAGATGGCATTCGGAACGAGAAGCATCACATCCCACACTCTGATACTGTAAAAGAAAAGACAAAATATACAGACAAGATGTTAAGCAGTTTTACGTAAACATTACATATAAATACACTTCTTACTTACTTTTATAGTTGAAAAGGGATAGAATTTCAAAAGATTCTCTAATTTTTGCAAGCACTGCCCTGTTGGCTCTTGATACCTGAAGCAGTACCATTAAAGGTACTACATGTATGTCCCATTTGAAGGCCAAAAAAATGATAAGGTTAAATTCAAACGGCATTTGAAAGATAATACTAATTTTGAACTTGTACCAAACGAGTGTACGTTTTGTGCTGCGCAGAGATTCAATCAGTTTCATTTTCACTGCTAACGTTTAAATTTCACAGATAGGACATATTCATAATTCCTGCAAAGTTCTACAGAATTTGATGTTGGTTGCAAATGGGACACACGTTAGTACCTTTAAGAGCTGTAATCTAAGTGAGTGTGGAAACAAGATGGTATACCATCTGTGTTTCTCTAATCAATTTACAAACACAGGACCAAATAGTACAGCCACTTGTACACAGCAAGAAAAAGAGAGAGAGAGATTTATGGCATTGTGTTACATGTACACACATGTAACATCATCAACATACTGGTATTTAATGGAAAAGAAAACACAAGAACCAACTAAAATTCAGGGGTTATGTTATAATAATGGTAAATAAGTGACCACTTTGGCACTTTGCATTTAATATGAAATTGACTTGTATCAACGTAACATGTGACATACTGTACATTACTTATGTGTACATCTCAATACCAAGAAAGCAAGAGGCAAAACATTTCCTTTCTATTATGTTTTTACAAAGAAAGTGTGGGTCTGTTTTATCATCAATTTGGGTAATAAAAATATGTGTTTTAATTTTGAATTTCATTAAAAAATTAATTAATTTGGGATTGCCAATTTTAATTTTTGTTTTTTTAATTGAAATCCTCAATCCAGGTAAGGTGCACTACCCACTGGAAAAGATCCTTTCTGAATTACGAATGTGAGAAAACAAAAGATGGGGAAGTAGATTATTACACACAATATGTACACTTGTAAACCTAACTATAATTTGGCTTGTTGTCAACAAGTCTGTGATGAGGCAAAGTATCAATTTCCCCAATTTAGTCATACTTATAAATTCAGGCCCTTATTCAAAACTGAGGGGATGAAAGCAATATTCTGGTGCTTAAAGACTTACACTGTACTATTAGTCGATGGAAAAACCCACCCTTTTCCTAGAAAAGGCAAATAATTGTTTTTCACACTCAGATTTGGACTCAAGCATACAAATGCTACATGCTCTGATCTGGCAAAGTCATGTACATTTACAATAACCAAATAATGTATAGCTTTTGGCACATGGATTAGCATAGACACATGACCCAAGTTCCACAACAAATAAAAATGTTTTTTTTTATCAGTAACTGATGAAATCCAAGCCAACAGTACCAACTTCCTGAATTGTCAAAGAACAATATAATTTTTTTTGTTGTGTTTGTTTGGGCAAGTAGAAAAAAGGAAAGGTGTTAATCTATGTTTTGTGTTCAAATCTGACATATGTATGGCTCATTACTCATGGTTCTGAACAAATAGAAATACCCCAACTACTGTACATCCATGGCTACAGATAGACCTGTATACTTCCTGGTACACACACGTTGGTCAATTCACTCTGAACTTTGAACTTTGCATTGTAATTTATGTTAATTCCAGTGGCTAGTTACACACTTGCAGTTGCAGAGTTAAATTTTCCACTGATGACGCACATGTACACTTGTAGGGTCCAAAGTCCATTTGTCAGTAAAAACCCATTTATCATAGAATAATTCATTGAAAAAATTCATCAAGATCACCATTTTGATAGGGGTTCTTGTATGAATGATGAATAATACACAAAAAGAAGCTTGATTATTAGAGGGAGGATCCCTTAGAAGAATTAAAGATCAATATCTGTATAGCCATGACATCATGAATTACATCATACCTGTATTAAAGCAAGTGCATAGTGTAGGCATGACAAGCTGACTATGCAAGAAACAACAGATGGACAAATAAAACTTGTTTGCACTACCATTAGGACATTTATAGTCCATTACCATATAGTCAACATATATTCAATCATGTGTTTACATTATTTACACAGCTTGTGTAATGAACAGTAGTGATAATGTACACTGATAAATGGTTATGTGGAAGTATTTACATCACTTCTCAAAAAAGGCAAAATTTACATACCGGTAGCAACATATTTTTCCACTTAGTCATGAAAGTACATATGCAATTAAATTGTTTATGACATCTACATGTCATTGGCTAACAATATGAGGAGAAGCATCCCCAAACTATGTCTAAGATTTTTTTCCTACTATTTAGGAAATGAAAAACTAATATTCAACTTCAACAAAAATATTTTGAGATCAATAGCACTTCTGAATTTTGTTAATGGTTGCCACTGTCAGGTATTTTCAGACTTGTCGCCATTCTACCCCTTCGCTCAGCAAGAGAATCAAACATCTGCTACACCAAGCAGGATTGACAAATTTTAGTCTTCATGAAAACATTCTGAATTGTCTCAATAAGATATAATGACTGCTATTCCACTTGATTTGATGGGCAGTTGGGGGACTGCAGCACAACAAGTATCATTCTAAACATTATTCATAATATATATTATACACATAACAAACATTTTCATGACTATTACTTATTACAATTTGCTTTTTTCTATGATTTGTCTATAATTAAAAAGTCAATTACAGATGTTTATGAAATTAAGAGAATTTCCTGAATAACATAATTATTACAAAAATATTACTAAGAAACTATCACTCAAATGGGATCTTTCATCCAGTGAAACCAATATATATACCTATTCAATCGTGTCTGCAAGGTCAACAAACACACATTTTTAACTGTACATATTTACACCAAACAAATCACGATTAATCAATGCTTACTTTGATTTGCCTATTTCTGCATACAGAATCCACAGGCATGGTGGAAGAGGTTCTGTTGAGTTTGGTTCCAGAGTAGGAATATCCGTAAATGTCTGTGAAACAGCCGAGGTTGATGACATGTTGACTGCAGGCGTTGTATCGTTGGCTGATGGTGTGCTACTCAATAGATCTGTCCAGTTGTGTGAAGTAGAAGGATCTGGCACTAGTATATGCACCGACATTGCAAGGAGGGGTGGCTAGACAGTCTAGTAAATGAACTGATCTGAAGAAAAAAAATCAAAAGGCAGTGACATTACAATATTTAAAAACAATTAAAGAAAAGAAGAAAAAGAAAAATCATCGTTTATGGCACTCTGAAAAATCTCATACAAAAAAGGATATTTCCAAGACTAATGAACAATCCCATACAAAATCGATGACATACAAGACTAACAAAGTATACCGGTACCCAGTTACCCTCGTATTTCGTGTTTAGATGGCCCACTGTCCTGACAGATAATACAAAAGATGAATTGAACAGGTTTGGATGCTTCATGTATATTTCATGAATCTTTGAAAGGGTGCGTCGACTTGACTATAGGCATAGATTTTTGTCTTGGCCCTACTTCATATATATTTTTCCATACAGTCAAATAGCAAACATGACAGCATTATCATTTTTCAGTGGCCATAGATTGCCCTCATGAATCGACATGCTCAAAGACTTGAGAAATAACAAGGATGGAAGTTACTTTAAAGGGGAAGTCCACCTAATATTAAGTTGGTTTTAATAAAAGCGGAAAAATAAGAGAAATAAATTAGTGGAAGTTTGATCGATATCCGATTAAAAACAGGAAAGCTATGAATGTTTAAAGTTGTCATCAGTGAAACACAAATTGGCAACACTGTGACGTATCTTGCAAGCTCCTCTCCTGTACAGAAAATTTCATAAACTTTCATTTTCTTAGTTTTTGATGATGAAATAGATTTGTTTCATACAAGGGTTGTATAAAAACATATTTAGGGTGAATGTATGATTAGGCCATGTAAAATTGATTACATGTTGATCGTCCGGATTTTTTGAAAAAGAGGAGGAGGGTGTACCATGTTATTTGATATTTGATATTTCAAAATGGCTGCTCAAAATGGCCGCTCGGTACATTTTCCCTGACAGTCGAGGCTATTTTTTTTTCAAGATGGCCGCCGACAATTTTTTTTTTTTTAAATCAGAATTAGAGCCATTTTAGCAGTGTTTTTCTTTTTTTTTTCTTTCAAAAAAAAAAAAATTACAAAAAAAATAAAAAATAAAAAATAAAAAAAATAAATAAAAAAAATAACAAATAACAAAAAATAGGAGGCGGCCCCCAAAAAGGAAGCGGGCGGGGACGATCAACATGAAATCAATTTTACATGGCCTTAAGTTGTTGTTTTTAGTTCAGGGAAAAAAGGGAAGGGAGCTTGCAAGATACGTGACAGAGTTGCCACTTTGTGTTTGATTGATTGCACCTTCAAAAATTCATAACTTTCTTATTTTTAATCGGTATTTGCTCAAACTTTCACTGACCTGATTCTCTCATTTTACTGCTTTTATTAAAGGCCCACTGCACTACTTGTAGCTACTTGCGCCCTCTATATAACAAACCATGCCTAATTGGTGACCATTGGTCCCCCATGATCCTCTTTTTATTATGTTAACTGAGAGCTGAGTTGATGAGATAACAACCTGTCCAGTGACCTTGCAGGGCAGTCTAATCCCTCCTGTAAATTATGGCAGATACGCTTTAAAACCAAATTAATATCGAAGTGGACTTCCCCTATAATATTTACTGACAAAATGAATCATTTAATTATCCATAGCAATATTGCCTGGTGAAAAATCATCCAACCATCAGTGGGCAACTGCCGCTAATTAAAACAACAATAATAATAATAATGACAACAAACTGGAAAAAATAAAAACATCTAAACATAAAACATAAGACTCCATAGAAATTTGACCAGGGGATTGGACTAAATTTTGCACTTTTATAGTTAAAATCAAAAAGGGATTCCTGATTCAAAACGGCCAATTGAAAAATTGTTTGCAGTTCTGTTTACTTCTTTCATCTTCTATTCGTTCAATTTTACATCATTCATAATTCTACCTGTATTCTTTGTTTTTATCCTTCGACCATCTATCCTGATATATTTCCTGATGTTCTGTAACTGTAATGCATTATCCTTTCATAATTTTGTATGTTTTTTAAAACATTTTTTATCTTCTCTTTCTATCCGTTGTAATGTTATTCTTTGCTTTCTTCCATTTGTCATCTTTTGTCTATCTTTCCTTATTTCATCCTTTGCTTTATACTTCTACTAGTTCTACCATCTTTTTTCCTTTCTCTATTTTCCTCCTTACATCACATCTCTTCTTCTATCATTCCTCTTATATCTTGAACTTTGTTATTTATCTTTTCTTTCTATCCTTCCCTATTTTATTTTTTTGCTTTTGAAGTTCTGTCATCCTAGACCCTATAACTTTCTCTATTTTATTCTTAATAATCCTTCCATCTTTCATTATTTTTTTCTGTTTACTTTTAGTTTCACTCTCTCCTTTCATCTTCTTCCTATCTTTGCTCATGTTGCTCTTTAATTTCATCCTTCTGGTTCTATCATCTTCTCTATTTCCACTGCTATAATCTTTGTTATTATCCTTCTGTCTTCTTCTTTTTCTTAACTTAACAACCCCCTTTAGTTTTCTCATTGACATTGGACGTTGAACCTTGCTTGCTTGTTGTTTTCGTCTGTTAATCAGATCTATAAAAAGGAAGCGACCGGAAGACCGACAGGACTACCTTTTCTTCCGTAACGGTATAGCGTACTGTTGATTAGGCCTACTGTTGATGTTGATGTCGACTTGTGCCTTTTCAGAAATGCAACCATGTTTTTTTATAATAAATGTGCTTCAAAACTGTGATTCTGGGCCCCCAAAATGGTGTTTGAACACAGCCTATGCTTCAACAAGACAGTTATTTCTGTCAACTACAGTCTACAGACTCATGCCTACTTCAAATAACTGAGTGCCAGACATTTTGTTTGGGCTGAGCGAGTCTGCTACAAATCACTCGGGTTTTGGACAAGACTCGGTCATCACGCACCGCACCAGCACCTGACTATGACTGCCTACCGGTACCCGTTGTCTTGCTTCGACGTGACGCCTCTCTCGATCTCGAGCTCTCACTACATACATGCGACACTAGACTAGTCACATCACACCATCAACATCGCAGATAGATTTCGTTAGTCGTCAAACATTCCCAAAGTATTATTTTTCTACCCAAGACTATACACGCACGAAATGTTTAATCACAGACTTGAAGATATAATATAACTTACCTAACCAATGACAAAGAAATATCAGATCTTACAAGTTGCCTAGTTTTGCCTGAGCACCCATTGCTGCGGCTGATCAAAATAAAGAAATGGTGATAAAACGACTTACCTACCTGGTATGTCGCCCTCTCTTGGCTGCACTATCACTGGAATAATTATATCCCTGTATATGAAAATAAAAATGGTTCACAATATCTCAAATTAGGCCTATATATAAATCGTTCAACAAAAATATACACATTTGCATGGAAAGTACATCTAGATGAGATATTCATGTAACGATTTGCCAAACAATTTCTGAACAAATATAATCTAGGGCAATTATTATGGAAAGAGTAATCATATATGACATATCAAATCTACTTCTTCAGAACACTGTTTGGCGCGGAAATCAGATATGTACATGCTATGTTTTAGTTGGAAAATTATCTAGATAAATTATAATAGAAAATTGGGAACACAACAGAAGAGAACGTTAAGAAGGAAAACGCGATAAGCATTTAATTTAAAAAAATTCAAGGTAATAACATAGAGTGGAATTTTCAACCTTGCATTTGTGGATGGTGATGATTATAACTCAGTATCAGACAACAGTGTGAATGTAGACTCCTGTTTCGAACTTTAGGCAAGTGCTATGAATTATGAGTATTACCATAGGCGCCGGAAGTGGGGGCGGGGGGGGGGGGGAGGGGGCAGTTGCCCCCCCCCCCCAACCAACAACAAAAAAAAGCAGTAAAGGAGTAAAAATGGTTTGTATTTTTAACCCAAAAGAACATAACAATAATAAAAACCTGAATAAAATGACGTCTAAAATTTCATTTAAAGAAAAGGACATTGCGCATGCTACCTAAATTATTTATCAATAAAGCGTGTTTGTTTTTTTGTTATAGGGGTGAGAAGCTCAAGAGCCTCTGAACGCTGGCATACTGATGGGGGGGGTGGGTTATTTTTTATTCGATACCAGTGATTTACAAATGTTGCTGAAATGACACGATTTTCCGGTATTTTTTTCTCAATTTTTTTGTAAGTCATACTTTTTTATGCGTTTGTTGGAAAATTACAAATTCCCAAATTTATAGTCGGGCGAAAAATATGCTTATTTAAAAGCCTTTATGTCAGGGTCTGCAGAACGGCCTGCACGTTGGCTCGAGCCCCCCTCATAGCTTGTTACAGAAAAAAAAAAAAGAAAGAGAGAGAGAAAAAATAAGTGACCTGCCAATGTCACAAATGAGGTATCAAAACATGCTCATCTGACCGTAATTAAATGCCTAAAACCCACGAGTTGTACCGCTTTAATAATAATAAAATAATAATAATAATAATAATAATAGCCTAATAGTCCACTCCAAATGGGTCACTTTTCAGTAATCCCTAAACATGGGTCCCATTTTTAACAAAAGTATCATTAAAAATGGGTCTGTTTCTTCAAAATTTGAAAAATTTGTGAAAAATGGGCTGTGATCGAAATCCCCAAAATGACTGTTTCGAGGCTTGAGCGGCACACCTGCCACATCCCCCAACCAAATCTGAGTATAGGCCTACCCCCCCCCCCCCCCCCGGGTAGGAGTCTGGATTACTTGACAATACGAAGGGGCATTTTTTTTTTTTACCGGAGGTGCACTTTTCTTTATTTCAGAATCTACGGAGGGCGGCAATAAAAGCAACAAACGTATAAGTATAGAAATGTAACATCGCCAGCAAGAATTGTCATTTGAAAGTTTTAAAAAAATGTCCTATAATTCACTTGTATAAGGAATACAAAAGGTCTTTCACATTCAAGTCTAGACTAAGCATCCGACTGTATTCAAAGAAAATAGAAGACATTCTAACCCCGGATTCTAACTGCACGGTCTGCATCATTCCCGAGAAGAATCAATATTGGTTAAAGTCACGCAAGCTTGGGCATCGGGGGCATCGGAGCCCCATTCAATTATATATTTCCTTATTTATCTATTTATTTTGACAGGGTACCTGGGGATCTCAGAGAATCCTGCATCCAGGGATCGGGGATCGAGATGGCTCTGCTGCATCTCGCGGGCTATATAAAGAACAGTCCCGCGGGCTTTATAAGGCCTAAAATAAAAACTTGCTATATTGCCCTTTGCGTGCCAAAACATGGGTCGGTCCTACCGTCAGGGGGAGGGGGGGGGGGGGCAAGAGATCGAAACAAAACAAAAAAGGCGATGCTAATTTTCACTTCTGGCGAGCGAGGGGGAAAAAAATATATATTTAAGTAACGTTTGGTATATAAACCGGTATTGTTGCAAGTCTGGGGGGGGGGCACATCATTTGTTAGCCACGTTAATTTCATTTTTTGCAAGCGAGCGTAGCGAGCAAGAAAAAAAAATCCCTTCTTTTTTTAATAATTGCTACTTAAACTTGGTCCAATAATTTATTGTCCCATGCCGGGTGCGGGAACAATATTGTGTTTAGGGTGATTTTATACCCATTTTAGCTAGCGAGCGAAAATACACTTTTCTCTTAATGAATTGCTACATGTATATCAAACTTGTTTCATTGTTGCAATTCGGGGCGGGCACAATCGTGTTTAAGGCAATTTCAATCCCATTTTGGCGGGCAGGCAACCCCCCCCCCCCCTACAGGCGCGGATCCAGGATTTTCCAATAGGGGGGGGGGGGCCGAAAATTTGAAAACTGCGCAGACCTTTTTTAACTCAACATACCAAAACTGACAATGTCATATTAGAAGCACCATATGTATTTTTTTTGGACATTTTCATCGGGGGGGGGGGGGGGGGCTGAAGCCTTTCGCCCGAAAAGTAATTTTCTGGTTTCACAATACGGCTAGTGAGCGAAGCGAGCGAGCAAAAATTTGAGGATAATAGTATTTTGTGAAAGTGTTATTTATTAGCAAAATATACGAGTTAAGATATAACAAATTCATATTCGGGCAGCTCGCTGTTCCCCTCCCCCCTTTCGTTAATTGATATTAGAGAAAGAAGACGATTTGTTGTACCATTCTCGACTCTTATTCCTTGTCTGAATTCAGTTTTCCCCCTCCCGCGCGAAGCATTGACCTTTCATAGTTTAATGAAATTATTAGAGAAAGAAGATGATTCGTTGTTCCATTCTCGACTCTAAATCCTTGTCTGAATTCAGTTTTCCTCCTCCCGCGCGTAGCGCGTAAGCTTCTGACGCTTCATTAAATTATTAGAGAAAGAAGATGATTCGTTGTCCCATTCTCGATTCTTAATCCTTGTTCGAATTCATTTCCCCCCTCCCGCGCGAAGCGCGGTAGCTTTGACGTTTCATTAAATCATTAGAGAAAGAGTACCGTTCTCGACTCTTAATCCTTGTCTGAATTGAGTTCCCCTCCCCTCTCCAGCGCGAAGCGCGGAAGCTTTGACGCTTCATTAAATAATTATTATTAGAGAAAGAAGACGATTCGTTGTACCGTTCTCGATTCTTAATCATTGTCTGAATTCGGTTTCCATACCCCCTCCCGCGCGAAGCGCGGAAGCTTTGACGTTTCATTAAATCATTAGAGAAAAAGTACCGTTCTCGACTCTTAATCCTTGTCTGAATTGAGTTCCCCCCCCCCTCTCCCGCGCGAAGCGCGGAAGCTTTTACATTTCATTAAATTATTAGAGAAAGAAGACGATTCGTTGTACCGTTCTCGGTTGTTAATCATTGTCTGAATTCAGTTTCCCCCACGTTGGCGATGTTAATTTCATTTTGGCGAGCGAGCGTAGCGAGCAAGAAAAAAAAAAAAGAAAAAAAAAAAAAAAAAAAAAAAAAAATCGTTTTTTTAATTTTTTTAAAAATAAAACTAATTACCAATTAAACTTGGTTCAATTGTCCTCAATGAATTGGTACATAAACTTTATTCGTTGTTGCAGGTCGGGGGAGGGTACAATCGTGTTTAAGCCAATGTCAATCCCAATTTGGTGGGCAGGCAAAACAAAATAAATGATGATTGGTGCATAATTTTCAGGTTTTTTGTTGCAGGTCGGGGCTTACACAATCATGTTTAAAGGTAATACAAAGTTTTGGTATGGGGTCATGAATTTGGTTCAAATGAAAATATTGGAAGCATATACGATCCTACAATATTCAGGGATCGTTGTCGCGGTCGAAATCGACTCTAAAGTTATGAAATTGTAAATAATAAACACTTTATGTTGAATAGCTCCCTCTCAAGGTCAATATATAAGTTAAGCTATAAAACAATGTTTATGGACTAAAATTGACTGATTAGCTATTCTCGTTCGGAAATTATATACCACAACTACATACTCTGAGATTTTCATGGTCGCAGCTACCATTGAACGGCCGTAGGAGCTATTTGAAATTCATCAAAATTTACCGGGAGCACCGGTAAATCTTTATATTCAATTTGTCTCGAAAGCAGAAGTGTTTTAGGGGCTAAAATTTATGGTGTTTTTAAAACACCCACAGGGGCATCCAAATATATTAAAATTGTAAAGAATCACTATCCACCCATTTTTCAAAATTTCCCAAACTTTGTAATACCTTTAAGGTGATGTTTATATTCCATATTGGCGAGGGAGCGTATAGCTAGTGAGTGGTACATAATTATCAACTGGTAATTTGTTACAGGTTGGGGTGAGCATGTTAATTGTAAAGACAGCGTAGCAAGAGAGGGGAAAAAAAAACAAAAAACAAATAAACTCATGTATCAATCACTAAAATCAATCAATCATCAATTCTGGCGAGCGAGGAAACAATATCTCTCAAAATAGCGTTCGGTACTTATTTGCTGGGATTTTCGTTGCAGGCAAGGGGGCGCACATAATTATTTTGTTAGAAATGTCAATTCCATTTTGATGAGCGAGCATAGCGATGCAAAAAAAAAATCAATTCTCTTTTAATAGAAATTAATACATAAACTTGTTTTTATTGGTGCAGGTCGGGACGGGCGCAATCGCGATTAACACGATATCAATTCCTTTTTGGCGAGAGGGCGAAAAAACACTTCCATTTTAATGATATTGTTGCAGGTCAAGGGTGGGCACAATTGTTTTCAAAGCAATGTCCATTTCATTTATTCGCGAGCGAGCGTAGCGAGCGAGAAAAAATGAATTAGTCTCTTTTAGTACATAAATTGGGTGTTATGGTTGCCATGGCTGCAGGTTGGGGCCAGTCGGGGCAGACACAATAATATGTAATCCTTTTCTTTTTTCAGGGGGACGAGCAAGTGAAAGCAATTAATACAAAACAGGCTAGCAGGCAGCTCGCGCCAGCGAAGAGTGTCGAATTTGTTATAATTATCACTTATAATTATTTTCCTATTTTCATTTCTCTTTTTCTTTGCCGTATGCTGAATATTTTTTTTGATGGGGGAGGGGGAAAGATGCATGAAAAGTTTTTGAAGAAACTCAAAAACAAAAGGTGTGAAATGAGTTCGAGCGACCAAACTGGTCATGAGGGTACTTTTGCATTTTCAAAAGTAGAATTGAAGGATTTGGTATAGGCCTTCACTACTTGTGAGCTTTGTTAAACATTTTCAGGAAAAAAATTGTACGTTTTCAAAATATCTGGGGTCAACTGCCTCCCCCCCCCCCCACCCCGGTGCGTACGGCCATGGTCTTTTTCAAAATAATTTACCCATTTTTTTTTCTTTCCTTTTCTTTTCTCTCTTTCTTCCTTTTCTCTTCTTCTTCTTCCCTTTTCATTTTTTCTTTTTCTTTCCTTTCCTTTCTTTTCTTTTCTTTCCCCTTTTTTTCTCTTTCCCCTTTTTTTCCCCTTTCCCCTTCCCCCCTTTTCCTTTTTTCCCCTGGAGCTCGTCAGGGGGGGGGGGCACTCTGCCCCCTTCCCCCCCCCTCAGGTACAAAAAACTTTTCCTACCCACGGCGACCGACTCGGTCGCCCGGCGCGGGTCGGAAAAGTTTTTTGTTGTTGAATGTTTTTGATTTTCTTTTTCCTTTTCCCGCCCTCTTTCGGCTGATATTTCTCAGTTTTTAATGCTTTAATACAATGTGTTTTAGCGTCATCATTCCATCCATATCTTTTTCACCTCATAATAAACCATGGTTTGCAATGTTGTGTTGATCGAGTAGGATTTTGAAACTATGCTTATTAACTAGGGGACCTACGCCCTCAAGCAGGGGCGTACGCAGGATCTTTTCAAGGGGGGGGGGGGGGGGGGTTTAAAATCGGGCCCAAAATATGTTGCTCCCGAAAAATTTAAAATCGCGCCGGCCGAAAAGTCGCTCAGTTGGGGGGGGGGGGGGGGGGGGGGGGGGGGGGGGTAAGCGGACACTTTTTTTTTTTTTTGAGTCCAAAAAAAATCGCAACGACTCAGCCAGCCGAAAAGTCGCTCAGTGGGGGGGGGGGGGGGGGGGGGGGGGGGGGGGGGGGGGGGGTAAGCGGACACTTTTTTTTTTTTTTGGTCTCGAAATTTAAAAAATTGACATTTTTCTTCGTTGGGGGAGGGGGGTAAGGTCACCTGTTTTAGGTTAGCCGTGGGCATATTTTTTTCTTTTTTCTTCTAAATAATAATGAAAAAAAAAAAAAAAAAATCCGAAGGGGGGGGGGTTTTAGGGGGTTTACACACATAAAAATACCAAAGGGGGGGTTTGAACCCCAACCCCCCCCCCCCTGCGTACGCCCCTGCCCTCAAGTCATAAATGACAGTAATGAGGATTAATGTCCCACAAAAGGGCACTAGCACATAGGCACGGCGATCCTGGGGCCTCACAGTTACGAGGCCATTGTTTTGTCACTGTACCATGACTGTACGCAGCGGGGGCTAGGGTAGGGGGCAGTTTCCATAAATAAAAAAAAATACAGACAATGCAATAAATTTTCAATAACTTATTGCATTTTACCCCGGTCCCCAACATAAAAAAAATCCTCTGGACGGCCATTCATTAATATGGCTCAAGGCATGGGCACACAGAAGATTTGTTTATGTTGGGAACCGGGATAAAATGCAATAAATTATTGAAAATTATTATTATTATTATATTGAAAAATGCCGACCGTAGATTTTCAGATTTTGGGGTCGGTCGCAAAGGGCAATAGATCTACAATAAGTTTTTATTTTAGGCTTAAGTAGTGAAAAATCCAAAGACGTTTAAATGGAAAAATCAGAGAGTGATGCAGAAAAATGTGTCTGCCTGCTAGATATTTCAACATATTTTTTCTTGATTCGGTGACGCCAGATGTAGTCTCAACAAAATTATATCCCCGAACAAAATACACTGATTTAATTTGTCTATGGGTCCACCAGAGCTGCCCAAGGCTGTCAATCAAAGTCTGTTTATGCAGACTAATATCATTTCTTGGGCCTGTATGTCGAGACTAATTCTGATCAGTTTCGCGGGGTTTTCGATCACGGGTGTGCTATTGCGGGAAACAGCTGAGCCATCGCGTATCTCGAGTCAACGTGCGAGCCGAGTAGGTACGAAAACAACAACTGTTCCGTGCTGCAATCCAGTGATTTTTACCTCCAGGTTTCGTTTTTTAAGTGGAAGGAAACTTTAGATATCTGCAAAAATGGCTGTGAGTATTATACCTAGGAAATGTGTGATCAAATTCTTGTGTCTGAGAGTGTGATGGCATGCCATGTGTGTTTGTTGGTCACTTCATTTCAAATTCAATGTTGTTGTGGTCTGGGCATTTAAAAATGGTGGACATTTCTTTGTCTAGAGTCTAGTCGTAAGAAGTACTGCATCCACTGACATGACTGTTTTAGATGCAAATCATGAATGGGGCAATAATGAAGAATTGTTTATCTGAAAGCCATTGAAACTGTTAAAACACCACAAAAACTCAAAAGTAACATTCTATTTCTAATTAGGCCTAGATTCTAGGTCTATTAAATTGATTGAGCTAGACTAGAGTCTACTTAGACCTAGACCGAATTTTCCGTCTCTTTCGTTCGTTAGCCTCTTATTGGGGTAGGGTCGGCCGGCTCTCTCTTTAGAGATGGAAACCGTCTATACACATTCCTTGATAACGCCACGGCCATTTCAGGTCGTAGCGTTTTGCCCCCGTTTTGCCCTCCATGTTGAAAAAGATTTTCAAAATGGATTTCGATTTTGACCCATAAATTCCTAAAAAGGGACTATTAAACTGATTATTTCAGTCAAGTTGGTAAGTGGAACTGATTTATTATAGCCTAGGCCTAATTTACAATATAAAATGCACGAGGTAAAATGACATTTTGGGGGATTTTGGGGGCAAAACGCTACGATCTGAAATGGCCGTGGCGTGATCAAGGGAATGTGTATAGAGTAAAGGAGCCCGTTTTCGGCCACTTAAGACAAAATCCTATTTTTAGGACTCTTTACTTCCTATTTATTATCATTTCTTGTTCTAATCATGAAGCAAATATTATTATTATTTAAACAAAAAAAGAATCCCAGAAAAAAATCACGAATTGCCATGACAATATTCATTTCAATTTTCACTGTTTTGGAGCCCGTTATCGGCCGAGCGTTTCAGTTTACGGCCGCATGTACAAAGTCAATAGGAAGCGCTCGCGCGCGCCGTGCGTTTCCGCGCTGATGTACAGCACAAGCGGGCGGAGCAGGTATCCCACGCCGGAGCTCCCTGGTGCTCGCCTGGCCGAAGACAGGCACAGCGGTGATCGGATATTGGAATCTGAATTAGACAGAGATATCGTGTGTGCGTCGCGGTGTGCGGCTGCATTGATTTAATACATGCGATGAGATACTTTTGAGCTTGCGACTAGCACAAAATCGGGCTCTAAATCTGAAAAATACTTGAAATAAAGCTCATTTTATGGTACCCATATTTCTTACAGACACGCGTAAGATACTCGATTTTCAGATTTGGGTAGCGGGACCGGCGATTACATCGCTAAAATGTGATATTTTAGGATATATTTTCCATTGCAAATGTGGTTTCAGTGACACTGGCATGGTATGGTATGTGTGGGATATGTGTTATGCTATTATGCGATGTATTTTAGAGTGATTTTACCTTGCATCCAACCAATCGGCCGAAAACGGGAGCTGGCCGATTACGGGCTCCTTTACTCTAGACGGTTTCCGTCTCTAAAGAGAGAGCCGACCCTACCCCAATAAGAGGCTAACGAACGAAAGAGACGGAAAATTCGGTCTAGAGTCTACTAGACTCTAGTCTAGATTTGAGATTATAAATTATTGGAAGTTGGAGTTGGAAATGAAAAAGCCTGGCGCTGTCATTCATCATTGTCCATTGATATTATTGGCAGAATCAAATTATTGAGAGCCCCACAAAATGTCACTGTCAAATGTTCTGGCTCAGAATGCTTTGATTTACTTTAGTCGGATGTTAGAAAATGAGAGTGTGAGACTGAGACTGTGACTGTGAGAGTCTGTTTTGTTGCTTGTCTTACTTTGACTTCAAATTCAGTCAAAATTAACAGTAACACTGACTAACACACTAGTTTCTAGATCCAGATAAATACTTTTGACTTCTGAATCTAAAGATCTAACAACATGTTGTTAACAATAACAGTTCGTACTGTACAATTAAGTTTTGTTCAGACTGTTGTGTTGATACTGTGTTACTGAGTTAATGTTGCTGTCTGAATTGTGTTGCAAGTGATGTCACTATTGTTCTAATTAAATTTCCTCCTTACCATTTATGTCCACATCTAGGATCGAACATCAGAGCCTTTTTCTGATCCCACTAGTCCAGCTGCTGCAGACCGCTCTGGCCTGTTATCGTCTAGTCCTGGTCGAAGCGACCTGCCTCCATTTGAAGACGAGTCTGAGCTCCAGCCCGGAGGAGTGCCAGATGTGGAAGAGGAAGAAGATGGAGAAGAACTTTTTGGAAATAATTTTGAAAGGTAGATATCTAACTCCCTTTGAAATATTTCTGTTGAAAGGGCAATGTCCCCAATGTACGGGTATCATTTGAAAATATATTTTTGTAGTAAGCAGCAATTTTAAGGAAATAGTGTTTGACCTTTATATAATTTATAGACCCTATTGCAGATTTTTCTGCTATAGGCTAGACCTAGGAAAAAAATTATTAAAATATTTTTATATGGCACTTTCGTGAGTCACTTAAATGACTTGCCCATTGACAGTAAAAGTTAGATTTGTTATGAATTGGAGTGTTGCAAAATAAAATATTCATGTCATAATCCACTTCACTATTTCTTTGCAGAGATTATCGTGTCATCCCAGAACTGGATCGCTTTGACCCAGACAACATGATGAAGAAGACTATGACAACATGGCGCCAGATGAGAGGGCTGCGGCAGAGAGAGCCATGCGCAAGAGGGATCGTGATGAGGCTCTGGCACAAGGGCGTATGAGGCCTGGCCTCCTCTATGGTAAATATGGAGCCTATGGAAATACTCCAAATGTTAGGGATTTTTATGTGCACAGAAATAAAGAAAGTAATAAATTGAATAAAACGTGTCAAATGTGTAAAACTCCTGTTTAATACTGCAAGCATAATTTCTCATGGTTTAGATTGTATCGGAAAACTTCTTTGTTTGATTTTGCCATGGTTTGTTTGTATGTTTGTATGTTTTTGCTTTTGGTGTTTTTTGTTGTCAATATGCCCCTTATGAAGAAATCGAAATAGTTTGATACCTTCTGGAGTCGACTTGTTTAATCCATGTTGAAAATGTGCTCTTTCAGCTGCCATACAGAAGTGTAGACATGTCTTAAACTTGAAAATGTAATTATTTCATGACAAACGATTATATTTCCCCCATCTTGTGTTCTCCAGAGGAGAGTGATGAAGAAGATGAGAGACCAACCAGAAGGAGGAGAATGGCAGAGAGGGCAGCAGAAGGAATTGAGGATGACGAAGAGGTATGATATCAAATGCATAATTGTCTGGAAATTGATTTGCTTAATGAAAACATGGATTGAAACATTTATGGGTGCTTTAAAGATAGAATAGTGCATAAAGGATATCATAATGAGCATTCATTGGCATTTTAAGCTAGATCACGAAAACACAAAAAAGTTGGGAGTTACACATGATTGAGGCCTTTTGTCTTACTGTTCTAAATAATTTCAAAGTATAGTAGAAATGATAGATGATTTAATAAATATGTACCAGTACTCTCTATATTACTATTCAATTTGTATTCTGATGAGTCTCTTGGGTCATGTCTGAATGTTTTCCCAAGATTACAATTTCATTGCTATTTTCTCGAACTTTCTAGATGTCAGAATTAAAAAGAAGTACAGTTATGTAACAATCTGATAAACAATGTTTCTGAAAAATATTCTTAAACATACTCTTCATTGATGTTTGTAAACAGATGATTGAGAGCATAGAGAACCTCGAAGACATGAAGGGTCACTCCGTCAGGGAATGGGTGTCGTGGCTGCTCCTCGTCTGGAGATCTACAATCGTTTCAAGAACTTCCTCTGTACCTTCGTTGATGACAAGGGCCATAACGTCTACCGTGAGAAGATCAGACAGATGTGTGAAGGTAAGAAGTTCAGAAGTAAAAATGTAAGGAATTATATTTTTACCGTCTCATTTGCTTTGAAAACAATCTATTAAAAGACAATGAAATGATATTCATTAAGATCAATGTATGCCATGTACTGGATTTAATTCTTATTTTAGGAATACAATCTGTCTGTATTTCATAGAAAACACATTGTAATGATTGCTGAAGTTTGCTGAGGTTCAAATGTCATGCAAGTGAAAATAATGACCCCACTTGTTTTTTGTGTAGTGCAGAGGTTTGCAGAAATGTGATTGAATCCGAAGTAATAAAGTAAATAATTCCTTATTGTGTTCTTGCGTTGTCTAGGCAACAAAGAGAGTCTGGTTGTTGATTACAACATCCTGGCCTCTCAGGAGCAGGTCCTGGCCTACTTTCTGCCCGAGGCACCGACTGAAATGCTCAAGATCTTTGACGAAGCTGCCAAGGAAGTCGTCCTGGCCATGTTCCCCAAGTACGAGCAAATCGCCAAGGAGATCCATGTCCGCATTGCAGAGCTTCCACTGGTTGAAGAGCTCAGATCTCTCAGGTTTGTTTCACTTCTTGTCTAGTTGTTGTTTTTGTTTTGTTTCAATGTTAGTTTGCATCCTGGAATATTTTCTTGAAATGATATTCCTGTGTATGAAAATTTCCATTTGTTCTCCCTACCTTATCATCTGGAACATTCATCCACAGTTTCTTCTAAAACTATTCTTGTTATGTGATGTAATGAATATTGATATGAATGTAGTTTACTTCTCAGGCCTGTCTCTCGTATAACTTCACTCTGCACTATATGACAGTGTGTATTACTATACGTTGATATGAGTTTGATGGATATTTACTGGTATGTTGCTAAATGTGTTATCTTTGTTTCAATCATATTGCAGGCAGCTTCATCTGAACCAACTGATCCGAACGAGTGGAGTTGTGACGAGCTCAACAGGCATCATGCCCCAGCTCAGTATGATCAAATATGACTGTCCCAAATGTGGTTTTGTTCTTGGACCTTTCTACCAGAGCCAGAACCAGGAGGTCCGACAGGGATCTTGTCCAGAGTGTCAGTCAACAGGACCTTTTGAAATCAACATGGAACAGGTAATACCATTGTATTCCATCAACTATTTTTGTCTCTTTCTTTCATTCTATATCTGTCCTTCAGTCTCTCTGTCTCTGTCTCTGTCTCTCCCCCTAATTCCCTTCTATATTCCCTACCTGTTAACAACTATATCCTCTGCCTCAATATATCTCATTCTTGTTCATATCATTCATAATTAGTTGCAAAATTTATAAAGTGAAAAAGCAGCATCTTGATGTTTTCCAATTTCTGCTCAGTTTTAATTGTCAATGGCTCATCAACCATCTTAAGGTTAATATCATATATCCTGCCTTGTTGCTTATCCCTGTACAGACCCTATACCAGAACTACCAGCGTATCACCATCCAGGAGAGTCCGGGCAAGGTTGCAGCTGGAAGACTCCCCAGATCCAAAGATGCCATCTTGTTAGCTGATCTGGTAGATAGCTGCAAGCCAGGAGATGAAATTGTGAGTTTTCAAAGCAACTTAAAACAAATTCTGATCCTGTATCTATTTTGATGTTAGTTACTGAGGCATTCTTATAGTATAAACAATACAATAAGAAAATAATTTGAATTGTCATTTTTTGGTTTTGTTCTGAAAGTAAAATCATTTAGAATATTTTTAAGAAGGAAGTATGTACTCTGTTAAAAAAAGTAAGATTTATTTTGAGAAAATACCAGGTTAGAAGGATATACTTTTCATCCGATGTATTGCCGGGCAAATCAAAAAGTGAAGTAAGATATGTGTGGATGCTTCTTTCTTTTTATTCAATTGAAATCATTAATTTTTAAAGATTTATTATGTAGGTAAACCTTTTAATTCTTGAAAAAGGTATGTCTCTGCTTGAAGAGTTCATCCAAAATATCATTCACAAAACCTATCATATGTTAACAGGAGCTAACTGGAGTGTACAACAACAACTATGACGGCTCTCTGAACACATCAAATGGGTTTCCTGTTTTTGCTACCCTCATCCAAGCAAACTACATCACAAAGAAAGATGACAAGATGGCGGCCGGTGCTCTTACAGATGACGACGTGAAGGCTTTAGTGGCACTCTCCAGGGATGAACGTATCGGAGAGAGGGTAAGAATTATAATCGATATCGTTTACTACTTGCATCATGGTTTATGGTAGCATTGCAGCTCCCAAAGTCAGTAAAGAAACATCATTGAGGGTATCTTTATATACTTGGAAACGACTCTTTTCATGAGCTGTTTACAAACAGATCTTTTTCTGGCTGTATAATAATAATAATAATAAAATATGATATTTAGGAGCGCTAAAAACAATAAATACAATAGCTTTTACAAATACAAATATATGAAAAAAGAACAAAAATTTGCAGTTTCACAGGAAGTAGATCACACAGATCACTGAGGGAAAAGGTAAGCTTGAAGGGGTCTTTTGAAGGTGGCAAGACAGGTAATTTCCCTTACAGAAAGGGGGATGTTGTTCCAATTCTTGATGAGGCTACTGCACAACGTTTTTTCAGCTGCTGAGAGTCTAGATTTGGGAATGATAAGTTTACATATGTCGGTTACTGAGCGAAGATTACGAGATGGTGTATATATTTGGAGGGTGTCATTAAGATATTCAGGTGCCAAATGAATGAGTATTTTGAAAGCATACAAACAGACTTTAAACAAAACATGTTGGTGTAAAGGTAACCAGTATCAGTAAATCAGTCGATATTAGATATTTATTTTATGTTATGGTAATCAGTACATTTGAATGACAGCTAAGTGTGCCTTCTCAATGCGGTGCCACAGATATAGAATTAAAGTGATCTAATATGATTGGCAATATTATTTGACCAGGGGATTGACAAGTTTTGCACTTTCAAAGTTAGAATCAGAAAAATTAAAAAATGGTTTGGAGTTTCGCACAGCACAGCTTTCTGCGTACTTTGACATAGGAAGTACAGGTCAACTTCAGTGGCATTTTTAGAATAAAAGTGATCTAATATGATTGGCAATATTACATTTAAACATGTCATTCTTGTTGGACATCTTCCTTCCCTCAAAAAGATGCTTTGTCTCACAAAAAAATTCAATCTGTCTGGTCCTCTTCAGATCTTTGCCAGTATTGCACCCTCAATCTACGGCCATGATGACATCAAGAGAGCGATAGCATTGGCCTGTTCGGTGGGGAACCAAAGAATCCAGGTAAAGTTTCTCTTTACTTCCAGATCCCATTTTGAATTTCAATATTAATTTTAGTTCTATATTATTTGTAGTTAATGGAAATATCAGGTAAATGACATAGTTTTCTGTCTCGCTTTATTGATCTGAAATATATCAGAGACGATCAGCCATTATAGTTTCAGTGATCTGCTTTGGGAACTTTTTGTTTGGGTTTCATTTTTGAGAAAAATATAAAGTTATGAGTAGTATCGTGACTGGGCTTTAGGTGAATGGGTAGAGATAAGGTTAGGTATAGTGTTTGGTCTAGGGGTGAAGTGAGAAAGTATTTAAAGAACCATATCAATCATTATTTGTATGATCTTGTATCCTACTTTTAAACAATCTAAAATCTACTATATATCTAGTATGATTATGGCTGTAATTTTACATTTTTTTGTTTGCTAAATTAATTTCTCTTTTCTTTGTGTGCAGGTCAAAAGCACAAAGTTCGAGGTGACATCAACATCCTGGCCTGTGGTGATCCAGGTACAGCCAAATCCCAGTTTCTCAAGTACGTAGAGAAGACGGCACCGAGGGCAGTGTTCACCACGGGTCAAGGTGCTTCAGCCGTTGGTCTGACGGCCTATGTCCAGCGTAATCCCGTCTCAAGAGAGTGGACGCTGGAGGCTGGAGCTCTTGTTCTGGCTGATAAGGGAGTGTGTATCATCGATGAGTTTGATAAGGTAATTCTTGAATAATTCTTATAGGCATCGTTTAACAATGTTAAATCTGAGATGCATGTCCCTACCTGTTATCAGTGTCTGTGATATGGTGTAATATTGAAGCCCTAAAAAATGTGCGATTCAAAATGATCAAGAAGTTCCTCAAAAAAGTAAAGATCTTTGAGTGACCAGTTTTACCATACTTGTTTTCCCCAATAGACTGTAGTGTTATGAAAACCGTTAGGAAAACGCAAAATTTGGTTTCGATTTCCAATCATAAATATCTCGATAATCAGACAGGCGATCGACTTGTAAAAGTCATTGGGTTCCTGACTGACCTAAAGGTTTATAATTATCATTGCAGCATGAGCTTAAGCCAGGATTTTGTTTCAGAATCTGGGGCAATGTTTCCAAGTCACTTTAAAGCATATGTCTGCTGAGATCAAGAAGGGCTGTAATTTCCTGGAATAAAAGCCCTTCTTGCTCTCTCACAAGGCAGTACGATGAGCCTTTCATGAATGTGCCATTTTACATAGTCAGAAACTTGAAAGTTTGAAGTCGGTTCATATTAGGTTTACTTGGAACAAATCTGAATGAATGATTGACCGATTCATTGGAATGCATTGTTAACTTTCTATTGCAAGATGAGACAGATATAATTATACATTTTCTTAACTGGATGGTAGCCAGAATTTCAGATTAATGTAACCATTGGTCAGTCTACTTTCATAAGCTCAAACTGCAATCTCAAGGTGCTATTCTTTGTCATTTGCATAGATGAATGATTCGGATCGTACCAGTATTCACGAAGCTATGGAGCAGCAGAGTATCTCCATCTCCAAGGCAGGCATCGTCACCTCACTCCAGGCTCGATGCAGCATCATGGCGGCTGCTAACCCCATCGGTGGAAGATACAACCCCTCGCTCACCTTCTCAGAAAATGTAAGTCAGGAGGTTTTGATAAATTAAAGGATAGTCTGTGTATTGTTTGTGTGATGTCTTCTGTTGAGGCCAGTGTAAAAAGGGGCTTGGTGCATGTTTAGTGTTTGGTTTACTTCCTATACTTTTAAAGCCTATCTGCATTAGTTTGGCCAGAAGGGATTAAACCTTCCTGCATGGTCACAGACAGGTAGTTATCTCATCAAACCAGCTCTCAATTCACATAAGAAAAAGGGGATCATGGGGGACCAACGGGCACCGCTAAGGCGTTGTTTGATTATAGAGGGCGCAAGTAGCTTCAAGTAGTGCAATCCAGCTTTCAGGCTTGAAAACAATAGAAATTTCCAGATAGATTGCCCCATATGAATGCCTGTTATTTTTCTTTATTTCTCTCTCTGTATCTCTCTCATCTATTTCTCTTTATATGCTCTGCTTTCTCTATCCCCAAATTTTTACATCCATTTACCTGACTCAAAGATAACTTGTTAAGTTATAGCGTGTCATATGACTGATCCTTGTTGAAATTTCTTGTGCTGATCAACACTTTCTAAGCATTTCTGTTCTGTTCTTGTCCACACATTCAGGTTGACCTGACAGAACCCATCTTATCTCGTTTTGACATCCTGTGTGTTGTTCGAGACACCGTCGACCCCGTTCAAGATGAACTGCTAGCTAGATTCGTTACCGACAGTCACATCAGGCATCATCCTTCAAATGCTGACACCAATCTAGACAAGCTACCTGTAAGTATTGTCTCGTCAAATCTGGAAGGGGTTCTAGGACACCTACCCCCTGGATAACAACCCCCAGTCAACTACCCCCTAGGACAACTACCACCTAGGGCAAC